ATTATGGAGTCTTTACTCTTCTTGATTGCTCATTTTTTTTATAAAATAAGCTTCTAAATCGAAAAGCAACCAGTTTATGGCGTAAGCTAAATGATTAGTGGACAGAAATTGAGAAAATATAACCAACACTTGAGCAGAACAGAATAATAAATTCTTCATTGACAAAACTCTCAGCATTTTGTATCTGATAGTGAACTAGTCACCCTTGTTTTATTGGAGGCAATCCCCAGCATATGTCTTATACACAGATATGTTTATCAGTAAATTAAGTGAGGATCAATATGCCTGTGGCAAGTTAAATATGTAGATGATGATAAGGATTAAATTACCTGTCTGTCCACTAGAAAAATATCCTGTATCCAATATATGATACCTTGAACAGGTCAAACTTATAGATCTGTATAAACAGCTTAGATATAACCATTTCAAAAATATAGGCTACATATGGTCTTCATTCAAAGTGGAATATCAATTGGAATCTAAGATATGAGACTTGTTGGGTGTTTTTTTTATATAAGGAAAACAAAGGAATCTCAACTTTTTTTTCTTTTTTTTTTCTTTCTTTTTTTTTGACAAAATCCAATTTTCAAGGTTCATGGTATACTAGACCAAACAAGTACTGTGGTGATTGAAAGAAATGTAAGAGAAATCGAAACAGAATTAAAATCGATTATTGTTAATATATATTAATCTATATTTGTGTTTCTAGACGGTGTCTGGGTAAAGGACAAAAGTTGAGTCTATGTTTGAGCAGACGTGAAAGTATAATAGAGTTACATTAGTACAAATACTAAGTTGTATTGTTACAGTATCAAGAAATATTTACCATGTAAACCTTAACCGCATCCAGTCATTGATAATTACAGATGGCTTGTGTTTTTTTCCATAATTTTATTGAATTGTATGCTTATATGTAATACCAGACCACTTGCGTTTAATGAAATAATCAGTAGGTTTCAACTAATTTCCAATGGTTTGGCATCGTGTCAACACCTAGCAGCAATAGTTCATATTTTGTTTCATTGATTAAGCTCTTGATTTACAGACGATGAAAAAACTTCTTTTGTATTGATTGTTTTTTGTGTTTGTCTGGCAAAATAAGCACTTATGCGAATGATCGGATGTATAGACTGTTCAATGAGATGAGAGTAATCTTTAATTATAAACGTGACTATTCTTCACACAAGCATTATTGAATTTGAAGTAATAATAAAAAGAAGGGTGGTAACTGCTGGAAGAGAGGGCTCAATATTGGATTAATATGGTGGTTATGGGAGGTGTTAGTCTTCTTGAACTCACATAATAATTATATTCATGTAGATAACAGCAATTTGAATTTTGTTAGGGTGACATCTGATGGGATCACATACCCAGGTGCTGGGTACAAATTAGTAATATATTTAAAAGATCCCTTGACAGATGGAATTCCAAGACTGCTGTTGAAATCAATTTTTCTCCTCATATTGCACATGTAACCATAGAAATAAATGTACTTATCTGGAATTGAAGTGTTGATATCACACTCAATTCCTTTCTGTCTCCTCATGGGTTTTCTCCAGGTCCTTCCTATGCCTGAAATAAAATAAAAGGAATGGAATGGTATTTAACATCTTGTCAGCATATTTCCAGAAATTCATATCACTGTCTTCATTCATTGACTTTCATTATGATTTTGAACCTAATGTAACAATGGATGTTATCAAATGTTTTTGGGGTTACTTATAATAAATATAATTGGCTTGATAAAGACTCGAGAACCCTAGATGAAATGTGACTTAGTAATCAACAGTAATTGTATTCCATAGAATTGTGTCCTGTTAATTTAATAAATCAACATTATAACAGCTGTTACTCTGAAACATTTGGATATTTAAAAAAGTCAAGATTTATTTAACAGGAGAGGACACCTTTCCTGGAATGAAGATATACTCAATGAACTTATTAATTTTTGGTTTATCACATTCAGATTCCGGTTTTTTAATCATTATTTCTATTCATATTGTCATTGATAACAATGACTTAACAATATGATTGACACATTCCCTGATGTATTTATTAAATCTTTTGTAGTATGAATTATGTAAGAATCATACAGGGTCATAAAATCGTGATTTATCACTAATTTTCTAAATAACAAATCACCACTTTCTTTTTTTTTTTTACAAAGAACGTGATCATGAGTCAATATTCCTGTTTCAACTCAACATCATTCAAACTTTATTAATTTAGGAATGAGATTAGGTCTGACACGGGTCTTTATTAAATCAGTGAATGAATAGAGCTGTTTTATTCACTTCAATACAGGCTAGTCATAATAATGTATTCCATCACTGGCTATCCTTTCTTATATAAGACAACAGACAAGGTTGGCGTATATATTAATGCTAAGACTCGCCATTCCAAGAAATCATATTGATTTTGATAGCAATGCGGTGAACTACAAAAAGAATATGAGAAAATCTGGCGCAGTTATGTCATTTCCTCTTTGTATAATTGTTAGGGAAATAACTGTTTGTCTACCAGATTAACATCTTCAATAAATTGTCTCTTTACGTCAAATTTTATCCTGGATCATACTATGTAGCGGCTTTATTTATTAATGTGTAAATAATGTAAATAAAAAGAATTAAATTATCTTATCAGATATTGTCATCAAATAGAAATATGGAATAAAATGCAGCAGAATTCTCTTTTTCATATTCCGCATGGGAAGGTGTCCTACACAGGAAATTTAACCCTCTTATACATTATTTTGGATATATAATTTTGCTTGAGGACTTCAGAGATGAGAGCAAGAGGAACTTCAAGATTACTTTATAATGAATGAGCTTTAGTTGTTCTACAATACAATCTCTATATCTGTGTTGAAATTCATTATTATAGTTCTATTAGTAACAACAATCCCAGTATCTGGTAAAAGTCATTATAGATAACCTGACCAACTGTTCACAGATCTCATTTAGATTAATTACATATAGCACCTATATTCATTACTGTTGACCATTAAGACCCCAACCTCTGTAATTGACTCATTAATCTCTTCTTGTTGCATTTACTGTTCATCTACACCTTCAATATGACAACAACGGTATCTTATTGAATGATGGTCATTGATGTCATGATTGGTCATTAATTAAAAAACATGGAAAATTGACTTGGAATAAAAGGGTGGATAAAATGGTGCTTGCTTGTAAATTTTTTATTTGAATAATGAATTCACTCACATGTTTGTAGCACTTAATTAGTATGGTGTACTTAAAATTTCTATCTTGAACTAAGGATGAAATATTAGTATCATAGTATTCTATGGATGAAATATTCCTTTTTAGCAATGCAACAAGCTTTTATTATCAAAATTTCTTCAGTGATTAAAGAAAAATAGAAAGCTGAAATGGACATAGAAAGGCCCTCCAAACATGTGATCTAGAAAACACACTAACCATGATAATTTTGAGTTGTATTAAAATAACTTCAAAATGGAGATCAATATAATTATCAATGACATATTATGAATATTTATTGGTTTTAAACAGTCTCTTCAAATCTTTAGGCATTACTGGAAGTTCTGTAAATGACTGTTGTCATCTAATTAGAATTTACTACCTTTGGAACACTTGTTTTTCGGAAGTAGAATTTTTTTTATCCCACTGAAATTGATTTTATCATGTGTAGTGATAAGGGAGATATATACTCAGTAGTTGAACTAATGCAGGTGAATGTTGTTGACAGGTTGTCCTGGAAATGATATCGTATTCTTTTATCCTCTCTATTTGTTCTGACATCTTCAGCAACAAAAAAACACACATATCTATCCAAAATAATTTTCTTTGGCAAAAACAATCAAGGGAATGAAGAGAATGTTCATATTTTGTGGAATTTTGTTTTGGGATCCTTGCTGAGGTGTTGGCTTAAAATGTAAAAATTAATTTAATGAAAATAGATTTCTTGTTAAAGACTCACATGCTTGAGTTGGCCGGTCATGTAGCATATATACAGAAAAGGAAAGGGCAAGCTTGATCAATAACGCTTGATTTAATAGGAACTGTTTTATTTAGATGAAAACATATGCGCTACTGGTATCTGTATAACTATGTTGTGTTTGGCACTGTAGAATTAAACACAAGACTGAGATTGGCAAACTTATATATTCTGTGTGTACAGATGGTGACTAGCCAGCCATATATTTATAATTCTCTATTTATCTTCAACAAAATATCAACTGTATCAACAAAATATGGTGGATGGACCAAATCATTTCATTCACAGAAAAAACATCATTTATTTCTTATAAAATATCTACATATATTTACATGTACTAAATCATCTGTGGCTATACATATTATCAACATCCTAACAAATCTTTCAGTTAAAGACAAAAAAAATCACCCAAATCTACATCACTGTCCTACAATATGTACTACCTATAAATAGCTAATGCAGGGAAACTGCACAACAAAACATAGAGAAACAAACAAATACAGAGCATAAAGTACAATTATCAAAGTGAATGCAAAGCTTTTAACCAAATTAACAAATAGCATTAACTTAGGCAAGTGGCAAAAAAGTGTTAGCGTAAGTAGCCTTGTGCATTATGCCCACCAATGTAAAAAATAAGCTAGAGTCTATAGGGGCACTAATGACATAATGACATTTATATGGATAGTAGAGTGTAAAAAATGTAGAAAACCATTAGTTGTCTATATGGTACAAATCCTGCACATAAGTACTCCATATAAGAATATCTTGTCTGTATTTAATCTTTCTCACTTTGTCATTAACTATAATTGCGAGACATGAACTAAGAGAAAAACAGTCTTGAAATGAATGGCCACTGTCTACAATCTGTGTTGAGAAAAAAATCAATAGGCCAATGGATGTATTATATTAAAAATAAACCGTTCTTTTGTACAGAAATGTAGAATCTTTAGGAAACTGTTGTATGCATATTGATTCAAAACTTGATGTCAAATTAAACAGAGTTCAATTTTGATCTATTTCAGATATATAACAGAAGTACCAGAAGCTAATTTTATCAGTCAAGCCAAGTCGAATCGAGAAGTTAAAGTAGCTGTTAATACACTACCTAGTTTACTTGCATTGAAAGATAAACTTACACAACTACGAGTTGTAAGTATTAATTATTCAAGAGAATCATTGTAGAAACATAGCTCTGATTAAAATTCAGTACCTATTTTCCAAAGAACTTTGTCATTGATTTCTAGTAATAGTATATTATTTAAAAAAAATCCCCAGTATGAAGTTACAACATTCAGTTAGTTAGTTTATATTATATTTTTTAAAAGATCCCCTGTACATGGTTACAACACCCTGTTGGTTTATATTTTCAAAAAATTCCCTGAAAAAAATCCCCTGTAAGAGGTTACAACACACTGTTAATTTATAAATATAAAAAGACTTGAAGAAGTGTGCTGTAGCTCCTCTGGTGTTTGAAAATTAGTACTAAGATCGTGATATTGATATAAATCTATGCCATATTCTCAAAATTGTACATCCAGATCAGGCACTAAATGATACATTGAAATGATAAGATCTGTAGTTTGTCATTTATATTGTAATTATATTTAATTGTGGGAAATTATATCCATGTACTGCAACTACTATACTAATATAAAACAGATTTTCTTTATGGAATATTCATTAGACTTGTTCTCAATGAACTTATTTTTCCGTAGTAGCCTAATGATCATTACAACTAAGTAGGCCTACTATTGATGATGACAAAATCACAGTTTTATTAATTAATCAATTTGTATACAATAGTTGGTTCAAGCTGATATAGGATTCATAACTTAAATCCCTTGACACTCATCGAAATATGTGCGTAAGTTACAGTTGGATAATTTTGAACAAAACTTCCAGTTTTCCATTACATGAGTATTATTAGTACAGGTAATTTAGTAAGGGTAACTGTTACTAAGGATACGTTTATATATAAAGACTGTAGAGAGATAAGAAAGAGATTACTATTAATGTGATATTGATTCTTCATGTTTTCTTTCCTTTTAAGTTATGAGTTAAACCTGTTATTACTAGACTCGATCAATCTGTTCCATCCCTGAATGGGTTACAAAAAGGGAGGGGGATGTCCTTTGGCCAAGGCTGCGAGAAATTGTTTGTAAACTGACTGTAAATGGTGCTTTGTACTGTATATCTTGAGTAACAAACCTTCAGAGGCTGCTTTGCTTACCAATTTATTAAAAATGTCATAAATCCAAGACAGAAAAGGTCTCCCAAACTATGCGAGAACATTAATTTCTTTGAGGGCCTCCGAGTCTACCATACTTTTCAGGCGCCTTTGAGACATCATTATGTAATACTGAATGATATTTTATTTTTCAGAATATAAGCAGTATGTTAAGTCGTGATATAATGCTTGGTGATGATCCTATAGATTATAAAGATATGACATATAATAGTGGAGATCATCAGACTATATTTATAACTGATGATGAAGATTTATATGGATCATCTGGCAGTGGTAGTGGTTATTCTGTTCCATCTACAGGTATACTACTTTCACTTATTATTCAGTGTTTATTTTATATAATTAAATCCTCAGGAAGATACCTTATTCAATAATATACTGAAGACCAATTGCACTAAGAGGGATGTGGTCTTGTGCTTGGTTCATGTGGATAACTGCTAAATCATTTTGGATTGTCCATATTGTATTCATTAGCCGTTTTTCCTAAGTTGATTAGTGAATGACATTGTCTGAATATTCAAAATGTAACATTAAACCCATTTACATTGGGTCCCAATAAATCCACCATACCTTGTCTGGGTCTGGCTCCGATAAAATTGAACCCCATATTATATAGTCTTGCATATTATCTGTATGTTACATCATATGACTTATTATTATTATACCATTATTGATGATCAGACAAGGGAAAGATATTGTTTATCTAGGTTCTTATCAATAATACTATTTCCTTGTGAAAGGCTGTCATAATCTAAATATTGTGTGTATATGTTCGAAAAGATCCTGATCGATGTTTTCAGAACACATAGCATGAAATCTTTAAATCTCATTAATGAATTTTTATAGAAAACATCCAATTTGATGGAAATTCTATTTATCTGAGAAATGAAAAATAATATTCTCAGTACATATAAAGCTTATTGTCCAGGAATAAGTTTACTGAAATTAAAGTTGTTAAAAGAAAAAAAAAATGATAACTATCATAATGTGACTTATCACGTTTATCCAGCCATTTAATTTGTCTAATTATCCTATTCCACTGGGTTATTATTATTAATGGTAGCCAGTGTAAACTGTCTGGTTTCTTTATTAAAGATACCCTAACAATCTATCGCAGGAAAATTAAAAATTGTTCTTGCAAACTACCTTTGTTTAATATGTAATTTTTTGAATTTGGAGTTCAAATTATATTGAATTTTTATTGGATTTTACAATCAGTTGTAGTTTTTTTTTTTTTTACTCATTCTACAAGTCATTTTGTCTTTATTTAACAGATATAGATTTGGGCTTTGATGTCATCAGGGTGACTGTCAATCACTGTTTATAAATAAGACCATGCTATAGTAGCTATTCTGTGAATATACCGAGAAAGACTATTATGACATGTGTGCTTCTTAGTTTGTTTAAAGTAGATGACAGTTACCCTCATAACAATAGTAGTCAGAACAACTGTTCTGTACTTATGTTGAGCATACTTGAAATTATATATAAATACGGTATACACACTAGACAATTAATAGAATATAATCTCTGCACCAGATCTCCTTTAAAACAGAGCACCTCTCCTTTATATGTGTTACTGTTATGATATAAACTTTTTAGGTTGGTTATATAATTCATAAACATGTTCTGTGTACCATAGAAGTTAATAATCCTCTTATCTTACATGTCTATGAATATTATTCTACTCTTCTCTATTGGCTCTCATTTGATTTGGGGGAGAAAAACTCATATTGGCTAATAATGAATTCCTGATTGAAAGACTATGTTGCAATTAGGGTGACTGAGTTCCAAGAGAAAAGATAAAATGAGGTGGTTATATGTCAAAATGTCATTACAATAGGGTATAATTTTTGTTTTGTTAACAAAAAACAGTACTTTGTAGGGTTTTTTTTCCATGCCTTATAAAACATGCATTAGTCTGTCACTTTACTAAGAAGAGAAGCAAGTTCTCATTTTAAAAGGATGCCAGTTGGACAAATTTATTTGAAGACATCAATAAAATTATCTTTCTTTGTTTTTCAGAATCGCCACCTACACCAACAATCTACAAGGATAAAGATTCGACAAAAAACAAACCAAAAAGTTCAGCTACCATTTTCTCCCCATCCCTCCTTTTACTTACAATATTGTTGTTTTTCAGCCTACATTAATAGTGATGTCGTATAGTATAAATTAAAAACTGTCCAACCTGCCTCATACCTTTATTTCATCGAATGTCTGCTGATCTTTACTACACCTTATTACAACAGCAATCCAAAAAGTTATTTTTGTCCTTTGACCATGTCACTTTAAATTGAGCTAGATGGTATGAAATGTCTGCGAAAAGTTTTACATGTGATGTTGGAAAGAAATTGAAAGTGATGTGTTTATTAGACAAAATGCCTTTAAATTGTTTTTAAGTTATTGAAAGTGCTAATTTGATGTAGTTGAAAGGTGTAGAGTTAAGCAGTCTTAGTATTTATTTTATATGAAAAAAATTAAGAATGGGGTGGCACAAATTGAAGTTCAAGGTATAGGGCTATGAAGAAAGGGTAAATATTTGTTAATAGATTGCTGGTTTTTAAAATTGTCTGGACAATATAATTAATGTACATTATCCAGTCCCTCAAGTGATGTCGCCACACTCAAAGCAGCACCTAAGTACCAGTATATTATACTCTGATCTTGATTTTAAAATGATAAAAAAATGGCTTCATGCCGAATGTCCTAGAAAGAAAAAAGTCATACCTGAATCATCTAATTGAATATTTTAAACGTATATTGTATATCTTTTTTCAAGGTGGTTTGTGTTACACAAAGCACAATATCTTAATAAGTTTTAAAGATTTAAGGTTGTATAGAATCTTCATTGTATTTTTTATAACAAGGCTACATTTTTAAATCTATCTCTTTTCGTTTTTTTGGCATCGGGGAGTTAGTTTGTGTATTTAAACTGGTATGTTTTTATTTAGTAGGGAATTCATCTATCCAAATATCTTTTAAAATCCATACATTTAGTCTTATCATTTTAGTCTTATTTTTGTTGTTTTATAACTTGATATACCTCACAGATTACAAGACGTAGAAGTAGTAAACATAGTCATTTTACCGTGCAACAATTCATCTCAGACTTTAATATTTCAACCAATACTTACATTATAATTAGCTTTCATTTGTTCAATTGATGTTTTAATTTGATTATTGCTGTAGTGTTTGATTTTTTTGACAAATCATTGCTGATTTGGTTTTTCCTTTCCTTTTTTTTTTTTTAGTTTTACTCCAACTTTGTAAACATTTTGATGAAAACAGTTCATTAATTTTTGAAGCTTTATTGTAATGATTTTCTTTTTAAAAAAAACCCAAACAAGCCAAGGTATTGATGGTGCATAGAACTTAAGATATTTTGATTTCTTCACAAAAAAAAAAAAAAAAAAAAATTCAATTTTTATGAACGAAGCCCCATGTATTGAGATATGTAGACCTATTTTTGTGAACAAAATCGTATTGAATTGATTACTTAGTGAGTTATTTGAATACTTGCAATCTTGGTGTGTTCTTAAAATCAATTCAAATGCAAGTTTACATTAAATAGGGCCACAGCATTAATAATTTCCCATTTAAAAAGATTCAAAGAAATACTATTAATGATCCATTGTGGTTTTTGTGTAGAAATCAAAGTTTTGAAGTTGTGATATAAAATATAAATAATCATTTGTAAATAGTTTTTCATTTTAAAAATGTGATCATTTTGCTTATCGACTCATTTTAGCTAGTATGTGTAAGAGCAATAGATAGCTGTTATTATTCGTAGGCTCTTTATCATCGATAATTGTAATTTTCAATCATCAATTTATTCGGGCCAAACCTAGGATAGGAAAAAATAATAAAAACTATGGAATATTTGGAAACTGTGAAGATATTTTTTTTGAACATTAAATTTTAGAAACAATTCGTATTGTATGTAAATAATTTTAAAAGTTTTTGATACTAAAGGAATTTCCTATCCCAGATTTGTCAAATTTAATAAATCAAAACAACAGAATCCTACCAGTGAACAAATTAATGGTTCAAGTTGTATTTAAGTGATGATGATGTTTTATATGTACATTATATCTAATTAATTAATTATATTGTTTTATGTTTTGAATGGGGCTTTGAGTTAACTACATTGAGCTCCATGTTATTGAATAAGGGGAGGTAACTCCAAAAGTCTTAAATTGACCTGAACTTTTATAGGGCGGTATTATTTATTGGAGCTAATTAGTGTTTATATGTTCTTTAATCCCCCAGAGTTAATTTAGTTTTAGCCTTAATACGTGTGCAGAAATAGGGCGTTCATGTCTACGAAATTGTCGTTTTTTTCAGCCCTCATTATTGTTCGGGAATAGGTTAACGCTTTCAGCAATGTCATTGTTAGTTAGCCCATATTGAAACTATGATACACTGCAAGAGTAAAATTGTACAGATTTTTGAGCTACAATTATATAATTTTGTAGATAAAGTTTTTGTACATGACTATGATTAAGACAGAATAGATTGCTTAAGATTTATCTACATTTATGAGTAATTTTATGAGTAATGGTCATGTAGATAAATGTTGCATTGTCTATTACCTTTGAAATTGAGAGCAGGATTTGATGTGATTGTGGTGCTGAAGAATTATGAGAAAAACAAGCTTTTAAAGCTTGTGTAAAAGAATTCTTAGGTACATATAGATTTTATTATTATTATTATTATTATTATATATATATATATATTTGTATAAAATGTATGGAGTCATCTTGTATAAATTAAATTGTGTGTTTACTGTGCCAAGTACTTCGACATCAAAAAAGTTAATTTGAATTCCGTAGTGTATGGCATCCTCACTTCCAAAACAGATGACAGTATTTGACATTTAATATTTGTAATTAATTGTTAAAATTAGTTTTAACTTCATGAGAATAAGATTGAAGGTGAAAGAATTATGTGAGTATTTTATCATACAGACATCAGAAAAAGAAAATTAAATATACATGTATAATTATAATAAATACAAATTGACGAGATGTTTGTGTAATAAAAACAAAACTCAGAAGAACTGCATTCTACTATTAAACCAGTTGTCTTGTTAACTTTGACCTAGGCTGGATCAGTTTTATCAAACTTTTAAATTATTCACAATATCCTGATTGAGTGAAAAGCATCTGGGTTAGTCAGAGTGTTAAAACTTTTGGTGAGGATGTTAGTGTTGTAATGGGAGGGTTGTCTTTAGAATTTAAGAAAGAGATCATTTTATACAAAGATATGACACTCTAAGACATCCTCTACTGTTCTGAGAATTTCTTTCAACAGAAATCAAACTGACTTTTTTTCTCTGTGTGTGTTTCATGTTTATATTTTGTAACTCAAAGTTATGTTTTTAATGCTGTACATTTTAAAGCCTATTGTGAATAGATTTAATAATAGTTAGACTCCCTTTAACTTGTATATGATTTTTTTTTTTCTCCAATGCATATAATTGTTCATGTATTAAATATCATTCACTGTGTAAACTATGTATAAATTGGCTTTAATTAGCGATAATAATGTCCCTATAATACTTATTAAATATAGTAATGATTACAACATTTATTACACCCAAACGATAATTTCTTACTATTAATGTCTTTATTCATAACATCATATATATATGGAAATATATAGGTTTTTAAAATTTTCTGGCAAATTAAATCCCTGGTTTTTGAAAGTTTTAGGTTTTTAATAATGATTTCCAATTGAAAAAAATAAAATGCTTATTTAAATAGCAGATTTTAATTTTTAGAGGATTATAAAAAAAAGATGACATATTTCTTTTATCCTTATTTCCATTATTAATATGTCTTTCATATGGAAATCTAAAAGATCATTTTTATTTGTTTATCTTTTTGTATAATGTATCTTAAATGATATTAAAATATTTCATTATACAAATAAATTTCCTGTTGTTTTTGTCCCCCGTTTTTCAAAGAACTTTTAGTAGATCTATGATGGAATGGTATTTTACACCCATATGTTGCTATAAGTAGTTATTTTCATGAAATACGGCTTGGTAATTTTGACAAATTTCAACTGTTACTTGCATTGGACTATTAGGACCATTTTTGGAACATTAACTGTGCCCCAAGCATTTCGTTATTCTTCTTAGGGATGACACTCTTTGAAAAATCCTATTTCTGTGACAAAAGTAGAGACTGCTTATGCATTGATTGACAGATTCCAAGATGGTGATGATGTCATGTTCAGTTCATGGTCCATATAGTACTATCATAATTGTTTTCACTAGACTTGTAACCAACATCATGCCAAAAATGCATTAGCTGACAGTTTTTTTGACTGCTTAGCCATCTTATGTCACAAGGAAAATATTGATGCAATTCTAAACTGTATATTTTACTTTGAAAACAAACATTTGAATTTTGACTCAATTAAAGTGTTGACAAAACAAAAATGTATGCATAACAATAGGCATGTTGTACACAAAAATTTGCTACAGATTAACCCTGTTTTCTGAAGCAAAATTTGCCATTAATGACATAGGTCTGGGGAATGGAAGTAACCATAACTTAAAAAAACCAGCGACTGCCAGGCAGGATACACCCACATTTTGCAAGAGATGGATAGAGAACAAGCTAACCAAAAAGCAATTTTTCGTACAACCAAGGGCCATAATTTAGGAAGTTACAATCCAATATATGCATGACAGGGGGGTCACAGTGGCTAAGTGGGTAAGACGCTGGCTCGCTAGCCTGGAGGTTGGGTGTTCGTTCCCTGCATTGGCTGAGAAAGTTAATCCAGATTTTCCGGTGTGGTTCCCCCTTGTCAGTGATGCAAAACGGAATGCCTGACAAGGACAGCTGTCTAGTCATTCGGATGATACAAAAAACAGAGGTCCCATGTACATATTGGCGTGCACATAAAAGATCCCTTGACAGTTGGAATTCGATATGGCGTATGCCCGTCTATTAGCCCAGTTCGGAGCAAAACAGGAGGACGTTAAACCCCATTTCATTTCATTTATCTGGACAGGAACCAAGATCTTTGGGTTGTAAGGATATATTTTAAGTTTCAAAAATGTGACTTCTAGATGGTCCACAACCTTGATAAACCATATATTTACACTATTTGCATACGAGGGGTGGCCATTTTGTTCAGCATTATTGGTCTGAAATTCGAGCCGTCACTAGGGTGTAACTGTGAAATATTCAAACCTTTTTAATTGTCAACTCTAGAGGGACAAGCTAAAACGTGATTTTTTGTACAATCAAGGAAGTTACGATCTGATATGCGCAAATATCAAAAGGAAGCAAATTCTGTGGATTATTGACATGTATTTCAAATTTTAATCAAAATCGGATCAAAATTGTGGCCTTAAAGGGTCCACAACCTTGATGCACCATATTTGCATACAAGGAGTGTCCATGTTGTCCATATTTTCACGAAATTCGAACTCAACCATCATTAGGGTGTAATGGTGATATATTCAAACTTTTTTTTAAATTAGATAAAATTGTGACCTCGAGGCTAAAAACACGATTTTTTGTACAATCAAGGGCCATAATTCAGGAAGTTATAATCCGATATGCATGAATATCGAGAGGAGCCAAGATCTTTAGGTTATAAATATTTATTTCAAGTTTCATCAAAATTGTGTCCTCTAGAGGGTCCACAACCTTAATATACTATTTATTTACGCTATTTGAGAACGAGGGGTGTCCATTTTATCCAGCAATTTTGGCCAGATTTTCATGAAATTTCGAACTCGGCCATCATTAGGGTGTAACGATGATATGATTTTTAATAAGATAAAAATTGTTACCTCTAGAATGACCACAAGCTAAAAGCGTGATTTTACGTACAGTCAAGTGCCATAATTCAGAAAGTTAGGATCTGATATGCGCGAATTTTGAAAGGAACCAAGATGTTTGGATTGTAAACATGTATTTCAAGTTTCATGAAGGAAATGTGGGCGTATAAAAAATGTGTATCCTTTAGTGACCTAATTCTGATTACAGAAACATTGGGAATCTTCCCAGTCCAAACCCAAAAGCAGTTTCCAAGATAATTTTTAATATGATAAACATATAGATCAAAGCTATGGGTATTTAATTTATTGAGGCGACAAGAAGGGGCGGTTCGGGGGATAAGAGTAGGCTGTATTGCTGCCGTCTTGGCAAGATTTCCCTCATAGCACACTGCATGGCATATGCCTGTCTTCATTAGCCTAGTCAGTGCAGAAAAAGTATGTGTGCCCAGCTGTGTGCCAAATCCTGTATTCCAGTTTGGGACACCTTCAGTTTCAACAAAATCTGATTTGTAGAATCCACATCAATGATACAGAAAAGATACATAACAGTCAATAAAACCATTTTAATTACATAAAAATAAAAACATGATGCATATAATACAGTTTGTCAACAAGATTAATCTTAAAATAAGGCAGTAATTGCATTTTGAACACAGAGGCTAAATGGAGACATGGAAATATGATCATGATTAAAACACCAGTTTATCAGATATAAAAATATAAATGATGAAAAGATAGCACTTAGAACAGTAGACCATTGTAAACAATCTAGAGAACAATATTGGACAATCTGTTACATAACAAATGTGTACAATGTATTTATACACAAAATAGTTTAAGAACTATCGGAACAGTTAATTTTAATAGAAAAACTAAAAATGTGCAAACAGATATCCTTGAAGTACTGTAACTTAAGAAAGCTTTTGGATAAAACACAACTTAGAAGTACAACTATGCAATAATTAAAGAAACAAACCTTGATAGAATTACACTTGTTTATCGTTGTTTTAATATAACCTAACAATTTAACATACATCTAGAAGTTCCATTATAAGATATTCTACAAGAAATCATGATTTATATTTACATATATAATAGTATATTTTGTTCTATTTACAATATTGAAAAAACACAATCTCAATCCAGTCCTTCCTCGTAGCACTGGGCATTTAGACAAATGTTAATTTGGATCGAGCCTGATTGACTTGCCATACATTTAATTCTTCATATTCTTCAATACATTCATCTACAGCATCTGGTTTATAGCCTTTAGATGTACACTGTTCCATTATATCAGCTATCTTTACTGATTTAACTCCCTTATCTGGTGCCATCTCACGTATAACAGCAAATATCTGATCTGTAATATTCTGTGGTCTGAAAAAATACAAAACATCTTAACAGTTGAAATCAAGGAAATAATAAGACTGATCATTTTAACAATAGCTAGCCTGCTTTATTAAAATATCAATTTATTGTTGGCCCCTCAAAAGGTTCAACATTAGATCAGAAATAAAATCACAATGATTATGTTGGCCTCCCATGTTTCATAAACATTGACTGTAATATGTATTCATATACCGTAATTCTATTCTTTTTTCCTAAACTTTTGAGAATATTGAAAGAGGAGATCCAAAATACTGGTAGGAAAATATACCTGTATTCAAACTACCAGGAAAAATATACTTGGCAGAACATTTTAAATAATAGAAATACTGACACAGGTTCCAAAAGTAGATAAGTGCTCCAGCATGAGATGGGTTAATAGGCAATGTGTGACAACAGCATGTGCCAATATTAAAATGGCCAAATAGTGGGATATGTAAATAGTGTATAATAATTAACTTATTTATATTTTGTGGGCCTATTATGTAATTTCCTGGTCATTAGAAATATACATTCAGATGGTTGCACAGATGACCTAATTATGTTCAGAGGAACTCTCTTTAATAAGTGACAAATATACATCTAAAACATATTACTAGATTGAAATCTAGAGATTTTTACGCTATATATCTAACCATAAAATACAACTTTACTAGGTTCAATGCCAAATTTTGATGAATGATTCCAGCACTGTAAGAAATGTCCTACCTTTTTGTTAAGTCAGTTTGTGAATTAAGTGTGTCTCGTGACATCTCCATTAATCTCATAGATTCATTAACATCTTCCTTCTCTACAGCATCTGCTAATCTCAATCTAGCCTGTAACAATCAAATATAACTTTCTGATTTTCGGGCTAATGTTTAATAAAAATTCTTGTTATCTGCATGCATGTTCAGGACATGAGAGGATACCTCAAATAAACTAAGTTTATTCTACTTATTCAAGTTATTGTGTATTGAACAGTCAGTGGTCAGGATTAATGTATGTTACTGGAATAAACTATAACACATACTTATGGAAAAACAATTACTGATTTATTTGGGTGACGTTTCGAAGAGTATTCTCTCAACATTTTCAAGCATATATGGACGACATATAAATAATTTTCAATACATCAGAGGGGCCCAATCTTTTCTTGTACATTTTGTTGGCAATTGCTGTAAACCCAAATGTATACAGAGATTGTGAACATGGCAATTATTAAGTTCTATTTTCAATGGTAAGTAAAGTAATATTATGCTTGGCTTGCACTATTTCAGGTTCAGAGCATAGACTATACATGCAGATCTGTTGATGAACAGTGAACTATCAGGCCATTCAGGAGTATAGTAGTATGGACTGCATCATTAAACCATTTATTATAGAGTAACATGGCAGTGTAATACTTACAAGAGCTGTAGAAAGACGTAATACAGCCAACAAGTTTCTAGCACTAGTGAAAGTCATATCTTTATTATTTCTAGCTTCTTTTCTCATCTCAACATAAGCACTAGTTATATATTCAGCTAACCCTTCAGGTACTGTGGGTTGTTTCTTCTTACATAGAGCAATATATCGTCTAAAATATACAGATATATATATATATCAACTATCAATATGTTACAAGCTACCGAAATATAAATTGTTTCATTAGCATTTAGTAATTGAACTGGAGTATACACGTCACAATTCTATGGAATACATTTACTGCTTATTACTGAGTGATGTTTCGACTAGGCTTACCTAGTCTTTATCAAGCGTCGCTCGGTAATAAGCAATAATTGTATTCAATAAGATTGTGACCTGTATACTACAGAAACATCTTGTTTTTATCTCCAAGCCAGTTGAAAAAAAGTTAAAATTCTAAATTATTTCTTCACAAAGTGCAATTTCCTAAAAGACCTAAATATTTTGAGATAATCAAAAATTTAAATCTGTAAGTGTCCAAAAGACAAGCGGATACAGGTGATTACAATATACAACTATAAAATTAGTACTTTTATCAGAAGGCAAACTGGGTGTTTGTTGTTAAATATTTAGTGGTTAAAAGAACATACCTCATAAGTTTCATATCAAGTGGTGTAAACTGACATGGTGGATGTACATTGTGTTGATGTACATAGGTAATATGCTGAGCCAATCTGAAATTAACAAATTTAAACTCAATATGCTGAGATCATGATTGACAAATGTGATTACTATTTAATTAATGAAAAAAAAAAATATATTATCCTAATTCTTTAAGTATAAGAGAACTGTCTATTAAAAACTAATTATCACACAACAAAACTCACCTTAAATCATTTTCTCTATCTGCTTTATCTTGGATTAACCAGAGAAGATCAAACCTAGATAACAAAGCAGCAGGTAACTGGATGTTCTGTTCTACAGTTTTTTTTGGATTATATCTACCATAAGCTGGATTAGCTGCAGCTAAGATCGATACTCTAGCATTTAAACTTGTCATAATACCAGCCTGTTTAAAAAATTAAACTCCAGATTACATATAAATGAAACACATGATAAATAATATACAATATTACTAATTCTACATTTATAATAAAATCTTATAAAATCACAATGTTTTGAATAATCTGGATATTGATGTAAACTCGTGATAAGATCTTTAAAATTAAAGTTATATGGATCTGAAGATCTGAATTAATGTTGGTTTTTGTTCAATTATTTTCTATATAAAGTATTTACCTTAGCAATAGAAATAGTCTGTTGTTCCATTACTTCATGTATAGCTGTTCTATCACCGTCCATCATTTTATCAAACTCATCAATACAACAAACACCTTGATCAGCTAATACTAATGCACCTCCCTCTAATGTCATCTCTCCTGTTAGAGGATCTTTCATTACAGCTGCTGTTAATCCTACTCCTGATGAACCTCGACCTGTTGTATACTGACCTACAATTGAAAAACATAACATTTATTTGTGTTTATATTTTTTTGCTTCCTTGTTAATTTTAACTTGATGATCAACTTTTAGGTCAACAAAGAAATAGACTTGAACAATTTCAGTTTACTTTATAGAGACAAGGAATCAACTCTGGTTTCCAACTTATTACATCTAATTTTACTAATCTAGTTACATTTAAAATCTTATCATGGTTGTTGACAAATAAAACACGAGTACTGTATACATGGCATTATGGAGGAATTGATCTGTTTTCTAGCTAGTTAGACTTTAAGGTCATCCAGAGGAAAATTCTATAGAGATAACATACAAACAAGAATTAAATGCCAATTTCATGTTTGTCATTCTTGTGTATACCGACTGGGTTAATATCACATCAAAAGATTATGCTTATTTTCTGTGAAAGAATACATGGTGTGACTTACTTCTAGGTGCTAATCTATCAATATAAGATAACAGTTGACTTTTAGCCACACCAGGATCTCCCATTAAACAGATATTAATATTCCCTGGAGAAAAATAAGAAAATACATGGATATTAATACTGTTCAGACCAACCAGTTAGATGAAAGATTTTATTTTGTCAAGTTATAAATACTTGGTGATCTATAGTTTTTTTTATTTATTAAATAAAATAACATAAACTAATGTATAGTACTTGATGAGTTTATCCCTGTAGTTTGATGACGTACCTCTTATTTTCATGCCTCTAGGTGATTTATCTACACCACCAACTAACAATAACAACAGAGCTTTCTTCACATCTTCATGTCCATAGATTTCAGGTGCTATACTACTAGCTAATTTATCATAGAAATCGTCCTCTTCAAAATAATCATTCAAATATACATCACTAATAACATCAAGAAAAGGTTATATTTACAAGTAACCATTTACATGTGAATAAATGTCTAAATAATTACATATGAAACATTTAAAGCCAAAATAAAAACCTGCAATAGGTAGATTCAGCCCTTACATAATGCATCTTTAAGAGTTATTATTTATTGTACCTGCTAACTGTTTGAGTTCTTCTTCTGTTAATTCAGCAGCTTCCAGTTCATCATCTTCAGTTTTGTTCATTTTAATCAATCTCTGTAAATATAAATTAGTTCAGATTTTTACAACTAATGTCTAATTTCAACAAAATGTTTTTAACATAAAATTCTCTGCCTAAATTAACCATGTTAAATAGTGAATAAGAATTGAATTTTACCACCAATGCCAAAAATATAAGACAGTCAGTTTATTACTTACATGTGAGTCTAGATAAGTATCAGATAAAAGTCCTTGTGCCATTCCTTGGAAGCCTGTTTTTAACATTGGCATAAAAATCTTTACTAAGTTAAGAAAAGCAAAAATATATAGCCTATAAATAGATAGTATTTAAATTAATATGTATAGTAAATAATGTTGTACAATAACAGACAGTTACCATGCAAGATATGACCATATTTTGCAAGAGATGGACAGAGAACAAGCTAAAAACATGATTTTTCGTAGAATCAAGGGCCATAATCCACAAAGTTACTGTCTGATATGCACGAATATCGAAAAGAACAGATCTTTGGGAAAGTAATATATCTTTTAAGTGTCAACAATAAAGTGGGGGACCCCTCGGGACTACATCTTATTGTTAATGCCATCCGGTGCAAATGTTCTTAAAGTGTGAATCCATTTGAATTCATTGGCTTTCCTTACGGCATCGTTTTTGCCGTTATCTAGGTCAGTCTTAAAAAGCTCTATAATTTTAATCATAACATTTCTACTCGTATGTCTATCTAAGTTGAAGTGTAGTGCGGCCGGCTTTGGCCTGTTGTGTCTAATATCTGCATAGTGTTCCTTTATTCGTTTTGAAAAGACACGTTTGCTTTCTCCTACGTACCTATTGTTTTTTGGAGGAGCATGTTAATAGGTAGACTATATTTCTACTTAAACAATTGTAGCCCGTGCGGCAGGAATATTTCTTGCCAGTTTTACCACTAATAAAGTAGATATTTTGGTCTAATTTGTAGCAGATATCACAGTCTTTCTTGATACATTTTTCGAATAGATTTTGAAACGTGACTTCGCTGGTTTACGGGTCCCGTGGTGGATGGATGAATCTTGCTTTCATCAGCGTATCCTTCAAATTAGGATTACTCCTAAATGCCGTGATTAGTTTGATGTTTGAGATGAAACGGCACATAGATGCCATTTCTCTTTTATGAGCATGCTAACTTGAACAGCAGTAGATTATAATCTGTGATAAAAACGAGCAACTTTCGTTTTTTCAAAATGGTAGCCGTAGTCGGGCTTAACAGGTCTTTTCTGGCTACAGAATTTGCCCTGTTCTTATTTTCCGACACTACTTTGTGTGGGTAGCCTCTTTTATGATAAAAATTGAGAAGATTTTGGCTATGGCTTTCATAGTCTATTTCTAAGCGACATACTGTTGTATGTAGTAAAGCCGGAGTTAATTCTCAGCCTAAACTGTCTCGGTATCATTTGTTTATCCAGACATGCCTGGTGGTAGTCTACTTGAATAACCAGGCGGCTAATTTTGCTGCTCAAGTTTCGGAGTGTTTTGTACTCCGGTATAACTGCTAAGGGCAGAACAAGCGCTTTCTGATTGGCAGACTTTGCTCCGGTTTGATTTTCGGAGCTGAAGTCTACCCTGAGTCTTTTTGGTATGGAGTGAACTTCCCCTATTGTGATGTTAGACTCGGAATCCAGGATCTCGTTTAAAATTACTGATTTTAAAAAAATTCATAGCTTGGAATAGGTTGCTCCGCAGTTGGGTTGAAGTAAAAAATCTGTAAATAGGCGAACAGCCTTCCCAGATTTCTCTCAGCTACTAGTTTCGTTCTTATTCGAAATCTTCAGGCTTAAATGAGGATGTGCGGTGGCCCTCTATATATAGTGTCGGTGGGCACCGGAGCACATGTGATGTCACAGATGGACCGGAGTCGATCTTTGGCACCGGAGTCGATTATTCCGAAAAGTGTGCAAAGATATTCGGCTAAGAATTTGCCGTCATGATTATGCTTATTTGCATTGACTCAAGGCTCCTAACCCTTTTGATCTCTAAGTTTAAAGTTTCTTAAACTAACGAGGACTTTAAAATAACTCTATTAGGTTATGGGCGTGTATGCACTATTTTTTTTATTAGCTTATGCCGTAGGGGTACCACGGCTAAATTAATTGGGAACTCGTCCTTGTTTTTGAAATTCGGCCTTGATTTAGGCTAAGGATTATGCTACTATTTCGCGTTATACTTTGAAAAGGGGCTCTAGGAAATTATTTCTTGAATTCAACAAGGAGCTCACGAGGTTGTTTTAGCGTTTCTCGATTGAAACGTTGTAAAAATACCCAGTCTTCTTTACTGATGTTTGATTCTGCCAAATCATCGGAATTCGATGTGCGACAAACTGGCCAGGCCTCTAGTTCGAGACAAAGATCAACTCCTTCACAAAAAGCCCCCCAGTTACTCATGGTTGGAAAGGTACAGGACAAGGCGATCTGCCATATTTTACCTCCGTTGTTTTGGAGACATTGTCCATAAATTTTCACAGATGTGCTTCATTTTCGAAAGTAGAAATATTAGTGGACGTCCATATTGTGACGTCACGGGGTACCTCTAAGGCTAATTGATGGCAATGTGCCAGGTATTTTGAGCGGATAAAAATTGTGACCTGTAGAGGGTCCACAAACAAAATGTGAACGGACTAACAAGAGGCAATGACAATGTAAGTCCACATGAAATATGTTCAATTTATTTTGAAAGGATACACCAGTAACACTGACATGATCACCAGGTTGGACTAGACGGGTTGTTTCACCACGACAAAATAATGTCATACTTCTTGGTATATTTCCTACCGGAACTTGATCACTCTGAAAAGTATTAAAAATATCTGTTAAATATCAAATATTGTCCGCAACATAATGGGAGTAAAAAAAAAAAAGACAGCAATACGAAATACTTTTACAACTCACTGAAAATCCAAAGACATTGGATAATTTTCTGTCTTTTTATAATTGGTACCCAAATTAAAACAGTATTAAGCTACAGGGTAGCACCATTGTAACAAGGCTTATAGAGTAGTACTTTTATATTACTTACATGTTCCTGGATTTTGATTTCCTGGAATTTGACGAACTTTGAACCTCTAGTTTGTAGATATAAACGTCCACCAGATTTATTAGTTGTACAATCTTGACTTGGACACATTATCAACGGCATGAAAGATGGTGAGTTAATCTGTAAAATAAATAACATATAAATAAACTAACAATTTTATAAATTATGTCAATGCTCTTGAAATTTGTGTAACTTACTAATATTATAGCAAGTTTGCAAATTTAAAACGAATTTCATATTATAAGTAGTGCTATCCAAATAATATCCGAACTATTGAATTGAATTGAAATATACTTTTGACTTGGTTTCAATTGCATATCCTCTTTAGTAAGATACACCTAACAGTATTGAATTCAATGGGGTTTTTTGCTTAAGAGTTCATTTAACCCCTTCAATTAAAGCAGATGTTAATATATATTGTTATCAAAGTTATGTTTATCACGTTACTTTAATATCACTTTCTATATTTCCTGCACCATAAGCAAACTCAGTAATCAATATCCTTTGTACCAATGGAAACACAAAAAAGATCAAATGACAAATTTATAATTAGTAAAAGGCACAAATACTATGATAGGTCGATGTGTGTGCAAAGTGTCAAAGATATCTGGGTCGATTTATGAGATATGGTCTGGAAACAAAACTGGGAAAGCTGGTGCCCATTTTAATATCCGTCCTGTAACTTTGAACGCCACAAGATATTTATTAAAGACTTACCGGTTGGTATGTTTCATTGCCACATATATCACAAGTATAAGTAGCAACAACCATCATAGGTTTAACTTCTGTAGCTCTGGTAACAATACCCTTAACACAACATAATTCACCAATATTCTCAGCTTTTACATCTCGTATAGCTACATGTTTCTGATTAGATACAGCTTTAAAATACACTTCACTGCAAAACATAATAATCATCATCTACAGGGGTTTCATAATAGTCAATTATCTATCTTTCATATCCTCAAAATAAATGTCAAGAGAATTATCTCCGACTGGGTTTTAGGCTAATTCAGACAACAGCTAACAAAATATATATATGGTATTTTCATTTGTCACTGACAACAATCTTATCACAAGACCGTATGTGAAATATACAAAACATTAATATTTGAATTTCCCTCAAAGTTCATTAAAGTGCCACAATATATCTAAGATAAATTTATGACCTTTTTACCTTCTTTCATTCGGGGCCTTGCAGACAGATTTACCCAATTAGTCAAAGTTAAGCTTTATAGACTGACAATCAAGGACCTATCAGGAAACCCCTATGTAGTGCTTTGACATTTCTTTTTTTTTCAAACTATAATCCGTTACATGAAACCAGTAAAATTTTTAGAAAATGTCTCTTGGCAACAATTCTACAACTGGAAAGGGCATTATCACAAGTAGTTAAAATAATACTTCTGTCTTTACAGTAAGAAATGGTGGTATGATATAGAAAATATAAATCAAAACAATTAGTGGAAGATTGCTACGGTAGATACAAAATATATTCTCTGATATTTTACTTACTATCGTCTCATTAATTCTGAGGGATATTTATTTTTGGGATCTCTAGTTATTTCTGGTCCATCAGGGTGATTTCTTGTCTCCATCAACAATCTATGCTCAATATATACATCTAGTGAATCTTTATAAACAACCTAAAACACAGTTACAATACCGTAAATAATTCAGAGTAAATATACCTAACCTTTTTCCTCAATCCATTAGTATATTGTCCATAAAAGAAAAATGAAAATAAGTGTGCATGGCCTCCCAATAGATCAGTGAATAAGACACTAATTTGCTGATCAGATCTTAGGTTCACTCCTGATGTTGTTCGTAAGAGTTCCTCAGGATTTGCTGATAATGGTTTCCCCCTTGTGAGTGATGTGAAACAGGGGACTGCACAGTATTTAGTAGTTCAGATGGGATGAGAAACCAAGGTCCTTTGTACATATTGATTGATTGTTCAATAAGATTTGGATATTTACCTCCCTTTCTTTATAATCTGGTAAAATATCAGAAACAGAATCAGCAAAAAGGGTTACATATCGCCGAGCATTTTCTACAACTGCCTCTGCTAAATCTGGATCATGTTCAAATACATGGTCAAGATCAATAGTTAATGCAACTTGTTCTCTGTGGGCAATTTTTGTCTAAAATTAAAAAAACCAAGACACGGTTACTTATAACATTCAAATAAGTTAACAATTTAGAACACTACAGAATCACATGCTTGAAAAAATTAGTAATTGTTCTTCCATAAGTATGTGTTACAGTCTACTACAGCACAGGAGCCTGACCTATTCTTATGCATACACCCTAATCAACTAGAAAATATAATAAAAATAAGAACAGGAATGCAATGCCTGTTGAAGCCTCTATTTTCCTTAGATATGTTTCTTCCTCATTCTAGTCATTTGGATTTGCATAAATACTCCCCACAAAACAATATCATAGCACTTGTCAGGGTGACAAAGACTGCAGGTTAACAGACAAAATTAATGTAAAAGTTGGAAATAAGTGGCAATGACATCATTTTGTGTGGGATGCAAAACAAAACGACTAGATTGAAGAAAAATCATACCTGGGTGAATCAGCTGAGGTTAGATTGCCTGACATTACGAATTGAGCCAAAGAGAGAACAGGTAAAATCATGGCTTCAACGGGCATTGCATTCCTGTTTTTTTCTAGTTGGGGATGGTGTATACGGTTAGAAGGTCAGACTCATGTGACTACAGAATCATAAGTGATCTGGTACTGCACACCCTATTGCTACATGTATTTAACAATCCGGAATGAGAAACAAAACTGATAAGGAATGCTATGCTATTGTACAAACTGACAAATCATGACATTTTTAAGGGTCGAGAATGAGAATGGAAATATTTCTTTCTATGGTGATTGTACATTGCAAGAAAAATCCATGGAGATTGGCTTTTTATTATCTTACCAATTGTTGACCATACACAAAGTCTTTTCCTCCATCTTTGCTGTCTGTGTAAAATTCTCTCAAAAAAGTACTAATTTTGTCTGCAAAAGAAATACCGGTACAGATTACAAATTACAGTTCAAATAAATTTCTTTATAAAACTATACTTTGCCTAGCTACTTTGATAACAATTGGGTCTTTACTGTTCATGGTTTAAGCTGTTTGCTATGAATATACCAAATAATATGCCACTTTTTTATTGGAAATAACTACCCGGTAGCAGTACCCTAAATTATGGCTTTGGACTTTCACTTTGGTGTGATTGTATCTTTAAATTAATTCCTCCAGAAAAAAGAGCACAAAGCCTGCGAATCAACCTTGATCTACATGGACACAAAAGTCATCTAAGGGTAAAACTATCTGCATATAGCCAATAACGTGTTTGTAAGCTTGGTTTTGGTTTGTTTCTGTTGATTTGTTAATTTGTGCTTGTTTTGAGAACTGGTAACAAGATTTGTTAAGGGCCGGTGAGTGCTGTTGTGTTGGCCTACTTTGCTCGCAGATCTAAAATATAGTTTGGATTTGATTGAAATAAACATAAGGATTGTAGAATATGTAGAAAAATAAAAGATTACTTACTCTTTTCTTCGGTATAATCTCGGGGAGGCATCTTGTAAAATGTACTTATAAATTTAGAGTTGAAAAATTGGAATGAAAGCCTGTTGTGTACAATGAGGTTTTAAAACGGCGGGAAATTAAGTCACGTGACCAACAAGGGTCAGGAGGTCATACGGGTTTTCGGTTTTTAACTTTGATTGGTGAATGGCGTATTTACATTTTATTGACCAATCAGATACCCGATTAACTCAATTATTTAGAAAACACCTGCTTGTCATTTCCGCTTTAGCTTAAATGACAATAAAATCTTATATTACGTAACTTGTAATTTTGTGCATTATTCCAAATAATCCTACCATAATTTTACCTATATTTACCCTCATGTAACTTGATTAGATATTATTTATCAAACATCGAGCTATCAAATTGAAAACAAAAATCATCCAATATTTAACAGCGCATGTGTAAACGGAAGTGTCGTTAGACATCTGAAAACATGGTGGGTAGATTGTTATGATTTAGACACCTTACCGAATTAACAATTCATTATGAACACTGTATACACTAAAATACCTTTGTTTTATATTCTAGCACAAGTTAAAGAGTTCACAAAAGGACAAGGTCCGTCAGTTTATTGCATTTACTCAAACTGTAGAAAAAACAGCAATAAATTGTTTAGGGGTACACGACTGGAAATTAGACGTCGCAGTTGATAATTACTTCTCAAATCCAGAAAGATACAACAGCAGTGGCGAATCAAGGACAGCGGTAGATCGAAGGAGACTAGATGTACTATGGAATAAATATAAAGGTTTGCATGCTGATATCAGATTCTATTGTGCCTCAACATCCATTTCATACTTCATAAATTCACTTAATAACATGTTACATTGGACATTCAACATTGTCATATTGTTTAGCCTAAAAAAAGCCTAAAACAAACTGAAATGCACACATACGTAGATGTACAGCCTCTTATTATAAGATTATTATACATAATGTACAAGTTTCATGTAATAAGCCATTCATATAGGCTTATTTATATGTATATGTTACAATATGTACTATAATGTAGATTTTGATATATGTCGTAACTAACAGCTATAAACAAAAACGACAATTATTAACTTTTGTCAAAATAAACAGCCAAAACTTCAGTCAGAAGGGTCACATTTTGTCCAAAACAGGCTATAAAATATTAACATTTTGCAAAAACATTAATTTTTCTTTGATAGAAATAACAATTGACTCTTAAATCATTTTGAAAATGGTTTCAACTAATCACCATAATCCCATTTGGTTTATAGCCATTACTGTATGTCTATAACCCCAAAATTATTATGTATCGTACATATGCAAAAAACATAAACATAACTTGCTATATGTGGATTATTAAGATAATAATGCACATGAAAATTAAAGGATAATCCTCTGTTTTACAAGACAAGGATAATCCGCTGAACACTATGACTACATGTATGGTACCAATTATGAATGTGAGATATGCAATCTATCACTGTATCTCCTTATATTGCAGTCTGAGACCATCGCTTTGAGCATGTACATGTATTTGTAATCTTAAAGCATATTGTAATACATCCAAGTGTACTGCTACAAGTTGATATATACATGTATACACTACAATATATTGTAAAATCCATTTTCAGGAGAAATGATATATTTAGTTTGAATATATTTATGGAATTTTTATAATGAAATTAGAATATCCGAATTCACCAATAATTTACACAAACTTGTTGAGTTCTTGATTTCATGGTTTTTAATGAATTATATGATAGAAAGTGTGTTTTGGTACAAATAAACTTGGAGAAAAACCATTGTTGGTAATTCTTTTCACAATCAAAATGGAAGGAGAGTGAAAATATTAAAATGCCAAATTTCATATTACAATATAAATTTATTGTGGGGCATCCTTGATTGCAATTTGTTGGTATATCGGTCCTATATTCATGTAAATTTTATGTAAGAATTAGGTTTTATGTGGTACATGTTGGCTTTGCTTAACAATTAATGTCAGGTAGAGAAAAACTGTATATTTTTTATACTTCTCTTGTTTCAGACCCACATGAAGAAGATAAAATGACGGTCGATGGTGTTATGAAATTTTTAGAAGATTTAAGTTTAAACCCAGAATCTAGAACTGTTCTTATATTAGCCTGGAGATTTAAAGCAGCCACACAATGTGAATTTACTAAAGATGAATTTATAAATGGAATGTTGGAATTAGGGTATGTAACATACCTGAAACAGGCCTATACATTATCAGAGGGTTTAATTTAGACCTCTGAAACGAATTTGACCACTTGTGATATTTGTTAAAGGTATTAGATCGGAAGACATTTTGCAGAGAGGGAGATTTGGGGGAGAGAAACTGTTAACTGTTTTTGACTTCACAATCCATTATTTTCAATTTGGGCAATTCTTAGTTAAAGATACATTATGTAAGATTTAGATAATGTAAAATGAATAATTTGAAAATTTCATTCAAATTACTCTATTGCGAGCGAAGTTATTAGCCTTTGAAGGTTTGACAAGATTTGTGCAATAATTTCAACCACCGTACTGGTTGTTCGAAGTGAAGTCTCGCTCCTCCATTTTTAGCTTAAATCAAAACATGGCTGAACTGTTCTAATCTATTTAATATCGGAGAAATCCGATGCCATCGAGAGTTGATTATGGCCTGGATAAGTTAATTAATGTCTAATAATTTAGAAAACATTTCAGGCCTAAAGAAAGACCTGCAATAGGAAGATTTAGCTCTTGCATAATGTATGTTTAATTAAAAGCAATTTAATTACAAAAATGAATTTGATTAATCTGAAATTTGGGTACTGGTTTTCATTTACAGCATCAAAATATACATAAAACAACCTCTGAAATTAAAGGCTGAACTAAACACTGTAAATGGCAACGTTCGTTCGTTCGTTCTTGGTGTTTAACGTCTGCTTCCACATAAGTGATATCGCAGACAAGACATAGGAGAGCCGAAGCTGATTCCTGTTTTTTAGAATATGATTTTGCAATCTTTCCATTTGGTCTTAGGCCATGGATTTGGTTTAGTGGGAAGTTCTTCCCTTTATTTAATATAAAACATATCGTTTGGTGGATGATCTCGTCTGCTTCTGGATTGGTAGATGTCATCGTTTGGGGTTAGTGTTTAGGTGCCAGACCCGTCTTATCGTGGCCTCCCCTTACTCCACTATCCCACTCTCTGGGTTTGGTATCAGTTTTTTTTGCAGAATAGTGTTTAGGTGCCAAGTTCGTCTGACCGTAACTCCCCCATACTCCACTATCCTGCTAGTTTGGTAGATGTCATCTTTGTGGGGTTTGTGTTTAGGTGCCAGGCCCGTCTTATCGTGACCTCCCCTTACTCCACTATCCCACTCTGTAGGTTTGGTGTCTGTTTTTGGTGGAATAGTGTTTAGATGCCGAGTCCGTCTGATCGTAACCTCCCTTACTCCACTATCCTGCCAGTTTGGTATAAATCCCCTATGTAGTTTAGTGTTTAGATGCCGGGCCCGTCTAACCGTGACCCCCTCTTACTTCACTATTCTACTTAGTCCAACTGTGTCCATTAGGGCGTGGATTTGTTTGAAGATTTGCAGTTTCAGATCTGGTCTCGAGAAGAGTAGGTTCTTAGTGTTGAATGGTATGTTGTTGGTCTCCATTGTTCTCACTAGTTCCCTTCTCTCCTCCTCGTATACCTCGCAGTCTACCAGGACATGGTTGGCGGTACATTCTTCTCCGCACTCACAGATGATGACTTGGTGTTTGTAGTCTCGCAGCCGCTCTTTCACCCTTAGCTTCAATATAAGTCTACAAATATCTCTTCTAGGGTGATTGAGTGTTGTCTTTGTGTAGCTCTTGTCATCCAGCCGGAATCTGTATGTGTCAAGTTCAACGAGATTTAATTCCCAGATTGAATTGACATGTCTTTTGACCATACTGTAGATTTCCGTGGTGCTGTAGTCTATGGTGCGGAGTGGTGCTGTGTCCTTGAGACCTTCATTGGCGAGTCGATCTGCCTCCTCGTTTCCTCTAATGTTGACATGTGATGGAATCCACACGAGTTCTACTTTGCTTCCCTTCTCTAAAACCCTCTGGTACAGCTGCCTGATTTCCAAAATGACTTCTGGTCTTGAGTCCGAGTTGTCATTTTGGATTGAAATCAGACTGCTCAGAGAGTCGCTTGGAATGACGAACTTAATAGTCTTTTGATGGGAAATCCATGATATAGCGTCACGAATGGCCACAAGCTCTGCAGTGTACACCGAACAGTTATTGGGCAGTTTCCTGCTTATTCCCTGTTCCCCGTTTGGCAGGTATATTCCAAACATAGCTGGTGCCCCTTTCAGGATTGCGTGAGCCATCCGTGTACACATGGTCCCAGTCATCAGACGGCCAGTTGTCTTCCAGGTGTTCTAGAGAGAAAGCACGTGCAGCAGTGGGGTTGTTTTTCTTGTCGGTTTTCTGTAGTAGATCTAGATTAACCGGCGGTTTAGGGAGCGTCCAAGGGGCGATCACTGGGGGGTCGTGTTCATTTATCACGAGCTCCCCCAGTCGCAGTTCCTTGATTGTTTCCCTGATACCCTGGCCGAAGCTTTTCTTTCTAGGATCTCTCACATATCTTGTATTTTGTAGACTGACAAAGGTTGGGGATCTTTCGCCCAGTTGCGAGATCTTAGCCCAGTACCTTGTCGCTAGTTCTTTTCTTCTTAGGGATAGGGGCAACTCCCCGACTTCCTGCAGTAGTGCCTCTCTCCCAGTCCCTTGCCCTACGCCAGTCGCAATACACAGAGATTTGTATTGGATGGTGTCAAGCTTCCTTAAGAGTAATGGCGCGCAGTTCATGAAGGCCAGAGAGCCGTAATCTAATACAGATCGTATTAGAGCATGATACACCATCATTAGTGTGACTCTGTTGGCCCCCCAAGTGCTGCCCGTTATTTTCCTCAGTAAGTTTAGGATTTTGGTGCATCTATCTACAGTCTATGTGCAGTTTCCAGGTCAGCCTTCTGCAACTGCAAACATTGCATTATATCCAAATAAATGTTATTTACCAAATACTCTTTGACCCTTTTATCCCCTTAAATCCTTGAACAATTGGATTGTGTAATGGATCATTGATATAATAATTAAAGCAATATACATATAGACAAAAGGAATACCAGTATGTTAATTTATGCCAATGCCTTCATTGTGAAAGTATACACACTTAAGACACTGCCCAGTTAGCAATATGGGTAGACTGCTGGCTAATTGCTAAAAGTATACACAAAAAGGTTTATGACTAACTCTTAGACAACATAAGGGGAGTCTTGATGGTTTGCATATTTGCATAAAATGAATGTAAATTAATTATTCTATGCAATATTTGCACATGGTTAAATCTTATATGTATCTGTTGCATACATGATTCATCTTGTTTTCCAGACTATAAACAATAACTATTCTGTAGGTATTTTATAGCTTTATTGTCCTATGATAAAAAGTTGATACCCAACTTATTTCAAGCAAAAGCCTAAAGTAAAAAATTTATTTCATAGAACTATTCTAACCTTGTAGATTGTTGGATGATCACACCAGGGTTATCCAATATATCCAACCTCAATGGGGTTTTCTCCAGGTCCTCAGGTTTCCTCCCACTGGCAAATACCTCCAATTGTAACTTTTGAATGGGAAATAGACTCCCCTACTTTCTGGTTTAACCATTTTCCCAGCATGACATTCAAGTTTAAATTCAGACATTTTGAAAAGACCAGAATTTACTGAGAAATAGTGATTGACAAAGGTACATTATTTTATTCACCTTTTACTATGTTTTGTATAGGTGTGATTCTGTTGAAAAATTAAGAGTGAAATGTTCAACGATGGAATTTGACATAAGAGACCCTGTGAGGTTTAAAGATTTTTACCAGTTCACTTTTAACTATGCCAAGAATCCAGGACAGAAAGGTCTAGGTAAGATAATTATTGTATAGATGTTAGTAATTCTATGAGAATGGTATGTACATCCTCATATTATTCATATAATTTCTAACTACCTGACTAAGATATGACTATTTGGTCTATAGTACATTGATAATGTTCCATGAGCCATTGACAGCAAGCATTCATGTAATTATCCTTTTATGTATTTGTAAATAGCATGAGTGGTGACAAGTACATAAAACAAATATATTATTTATTATAATTATTATATAATTTTAACAGTCCTAATATTGAACCATCTTGACACTTTTGTTAATTATTTAAACTATTTATGTGTATTGAAAGACTTAACAGATATATGTGAGTGTATTAAAACCAGATCTTTAGGATAGCATATCAGTAGTTACAATACCAGATGTAATTAATGATGGACTAATTACTATGTTATTTGGCCATTTTATGGCATTAAAATGTTAACTTCAGGTGGAAAACTTCTCTATACAGAACTCCCAATTTAATGCTTTTGTTTTATTTATTTAGATTTGGAGATGGCCTTAGCATACTGGAATATAGTTTTGGCAGGGAGGTTTAAATTTTTGGATTTATGGGTATCATTTTTACAAGTAAGATTTCTGATATTTTCACTATTTTCAAGTAGTATTGTTGACTGGATTCTTGCGTTTCATAAACAAAGTCACTGGTTATCAGTCACAAGAACTGATAAGATACAAAATTATACACTAGGAATATATTGTGCCAGTAATTGTCACATGCAGCAATCCAGTTCTTTGTTTATCTCAAGTGGACCCTGTAAACTAAAAACGATCTGCGTCTCAGGATAGTGGTGTGATGGCAAACAAACCTTCCAACAATGGCTCTGGTTGTAATGCCTGTTTGAATTAATGAAATGGTGTGTCAACCAGGGTTCTTCATCTATTTTGAAACGAATCGGCCAGTAGAAACTGGACTTTAAAATTTTAAGCTTCCATTCCCTTTAATATATGTAATTACCACAAATAGCCTATAACGTCAAACAGGTACACCATTTGGAAAATTGTCCATATTTAATTCATGCCAGTAATATTCCTGAATAAATTACTGTAATCGTTTTTATCGATGGATATAAGTTGATACGGCACCATGGTATTTCTTCATAACACAATTTGTAGGGTTTTTCTCTAGGTAACTTGCAAATGTTTTTATTCATTGGTCCATGATAGACACATGTCACAGTGATCAAGTGACAACCATAATTGAAATGGCTTTAAAATTAAATTCTATACGACTATGCCATACAGCTTTCAATAATAATAAGGACAATATTTTAAAAATCAAGCCTCTGTTAGCATGTGTATAAAATAAAAAATCATAACAGTAAACGCTATTTAAAGCTAAAACTAGCATTGCTGGTTTACTGACCTAATTCTAACCAATGTCACATGTCATATTCCGCATTGGAGATTCATAATTATATATTATTAATGACGGTTTCCCAGTGTATTCGGTGTTCTATCCAAGGATTATATTCAACTAAGATTTAAATTTAACTAACAACTGGTCAGTGAAACCATTAAATTATGATCCAATTATTATTTTAATATCTACCGGTACACCTGAAATTCATACTGACCGTGGTAGGCTCGGGATAGATGCACAATCCATTTCAAGATCGTATTGTCTTCCTTCGATTGCCAAGTGACCTATTTCCTCAAGGCAACTTACTGGACCTGTTTGGAATAATCAGCAGGCGTGTTGTTTTTTTTTTACCGGATTATCAAAATAACCGGTACTTAATTAATCAGATTATGAACCACATGGCCGATTCTTACTAAGGTATGATTGTTATTGTAGCCGACAAGCAAGTTGATTGACTTCTTAATTAACAAGTAATAATTAACCCGTTGTAATTTAGCCGAAAGCAGATTGATTTATGATACCATTGTGGCCGGTTCATTGTTTTACCAATCGGCTTGATTGAACTTCAAGCGGCTAAAGCCAACAAAAAACAGCCGATTAAGATTCCTGGTGTCAACCTTGTTACATTTTCCAGAGAATTGTAGGAATTGAATTGATCCAAGCTTTCTTAAAAGCCACATTTTATGTTGTACCATAAACTAGTCATTTGTAATCTGATGGGAGGGGGGAGATGGATGGCCGAATGGTTAGTGTGTGCGCGTTGTATCATAAGATCCGTCATTGAGTCAACTGCCATTGTTTCGATTCCTTGGTTGTACGTGACAAGAAGAGGGTCACCCGTTCAACCTTGTGGCGTTTTTTCCGGTTCCTCCGGTTCCTTCCCACTGCTAAAGAGCCCTACGCACAAGCAAATTATTCAAATAAAATTGAACCATGTTAGTCCCAAAATGACCTGGTTTGTGTCTAGTTGACGTTAAACCCAATTTCTCTCTCTTTAGCGTAATCTGATGTTGTTAAGTTCAGAATTGCAGGATTAAAGTGTATCTTTCAATACAATCATCTATTAATTTATAAAGATGGTGCATTTTTATTGCATCTCAGTATACAATTATGTCAGAAGTCAAAAGGAAAATGTTACAGCTTGGACATCTTTGATGACCATACGTTTTATTTGATTTAATTTTAGGAACATCATAAAAGATCTATACCTAAAGATACCTGGAACTTGTTATTAGATTTCTGTAATATGATAAATGATGATATGACAAATTATGATGAAGAAGGTAAGTGAGGTGGTGTTAATATGGCGACATTATTATTCATTTATGTATTTATTCATTAAGTGTTTTACAGAAGTTAGTTTTATACTGAGAAGGTCAAAGTAATAGTTTATAATAGTTTATAATGAAAAATAGGTGTTATGTTTGGCAAAATAAGTCTAAGGGGCTCCTGATCCCCTTCTCTGTACCTAGAGCTGGGTGATATCCCTGGAAACAGATATCGCAGTATTTTTTGAAAATGTTGCGATATAATCACTATATTCCCCCCACCCCCCACCCAATGACACGTCCAACGCTGAATGATAATCAGTCTACCGGAATTCTCAATATAGTTAGCATTATTTATATTTCTGCTTTATTATAATTTATTTCAAACTGAAAATCAATGATTCCTTTGGAAAATCAAAGCATCTGTATAAAAAAGTTGTCAAGATGCATAGAAATTGAATAGGAGCAGGGATAATTCTAACGTGACATCATATTCCTGAAGCAATGGCCCGAGAAATCCCTCTCTAGCCATTGCTATATTTAGACTGAAAACTTGAGTTTTGGACAGTGTGTGTCCATTCTCTGCTGGGTACAGTAAAATGAAGGATATTTTCATAATGTCGCTTAACGGGGTGACCTCTTTTTAAAAAAAATTACAGTGTTTGTTAGTGCTGATTTCAAGAAAATCTTTACCCTGACCTTGAATGCATCAGGAGCAAACATGGATACTTGCATAGTTAAAGTTGGGCGTCGCTGAAACTTGCTATTGGAACCGAAAATTCTTTGACAATTACCCAATGTTTACATTGTAGCTATTTTGGATAGCCTTCTTTATCACACAATTAGTTTTTTTGCAATATTCTGTTATGCACTGGCTAAATGTATTTGTTAAGGCCAGCTCAATTTTTGTTAAAGTCGCTGAGATGTAAATAAAATTAGGGCACGTGATAGTTGGCGAGATTGGAGGTTAGGGTAAGCATTAGGGCTAGGTCTAGCGTTATGTTAGGGTTAGGGTTGGGATAAGCACTAGCCCTGTTTACATCTCGTGATTTTTGACCAAACTTGAATTTAGCCTTATCAAATAGATCTAACCGTTAATGCACTACTTAATTGAGCCTAATACATTTCACGCGTTATGACGTAATGTAGCCGCGATTATCACCAGGCACTTTGGTAACATATTTAGAACTGGTTAATCACGATTGATTTTGTTACATAGTAAAATGTTATTACAATCACGGTTTTTGTCTATCTACAGCAGATATAAATCACTTCTTTAAATTCTGTGGTATACCAGTATACAAAAGAATGTATTTTGCAAAAGATGTACCACCAGTATTTTACTACCTATCTGAAACTCATATAGAGTTAGATGGCAAGCATATTAGTGAAAACAGTATTCTTATTATGGAATGGGATGGGGTTTAACCTTGCATCAACACATGCTTTGGTTATTTTGAGACCATCATGGTTATGTGTGCAGTGCAAGGGAGAGAATTTTTCCCAGATTGTTACATTAACACTTCCTCTTCTTTCAATACCAATGTATCTGCCATACTTGATTATGTCATGATTCTACTCAAGACATGTACTGATGGGCTATTACAGAAATCGATATGTGTTGAAACACTTATGCTAATTAATTGTATATATAATTTATTTTCTAGGAGCCTGGCCTGTGTTAATAGATGACTTTGTAGAATATGCTAAACCTTTAATTCTAACTGGAGGATCTCGTAGTACAACCGTTTAAAAATATTATAAACATATACAGATAGTTTTTATTCTTAACAACAGCTATGTTTACCCTAGCAACGTCTGGATAAAACAGCTTTTGAACTATTAAGCTAAAAGACAATGTAGATATTTTGTATTTATAAACATTGAGTGATATAATTAATGAAGAGGAATGTTGATGTTGTGAAAAGATCAAATAATTTTTTTACTTTTCATCTGATAAAATCAAGATGTGGAATGTTACTACAGAAAGAGGTGTCATGTTCAAGAACAACAAGTGATTAATCCTATGAGTATTTAAGTAGTTGTTAAATAATCCATTCAGTTGTTCACTTAGTTATGTTTTGCACAATGACATTCTGTTAACCCTTTAGGAAAACATTTTACACATTAACCAATGTCATTATATCTTGTTTGATTGTTGACCGTTCTTAGGAAAGTTTAAAATGACACAATCTCTCTAATTTGATGGAGATGCTATGGTTAAACCTGATATGTTAATGGTGAAGTCCTAGTTTTAAATGGCTCTCTGAACTAAGACTGTTTAAGGATGTTAATCAATGCCAAATGTGAAGAAATAGCTTGTTAACCCCTTAAGAAACAAGAAATTTTCTTAGTACAAGTCTGAGTAATAGTTTATGCAGTCACAAGGTATGGTAAATGCCAGTAAAAGAATGTCATCTCCAACTCCACCTGACTACTGGAAGTTTGTATTTCTATTTACAATTTCTGAAATTTTTCTTTTTGTTTTCTCAAAAAAATTCAAGTGATTAATCTCCACCCTGAATAATCAAAATATCAGATTAGCCAAACTGCCTTAAATGAAAGCAGTCATGCTCCTATTAAATTAGAAGATGAAAATCTGAAATATTGTGAAATGAATCAACTGTAATGACATTGGTATTGTGAACAATATTGAATACATGATTAGAATTAATGACAGATAGCTTATCCTACATTTCTTAATTATATACTATGTTTACAGAATTTTATTTAGTTTGATGTTTCATCAATTTCATATCCTCTTGTATATTTCTATACAACAGATTGTTTTTATTGATAAATTTAATACTACTTTGAATAGTAATAGAACCTTCCACTTGAAAATTATGCCATCAAACATTTTTAATTAATTAATTGTTTTGCTTAACTAGCTTTCTTCAATCAGTAGGACTTCATCGAAAGCTTAGGGGAACTAAAAAACCATGTGCCCCATGGTTCCAGTGAAGAATTCTAAGTTTGTACACTACCTGTTATCACTCACCCATTTTTCCTTCAGTTATTTTTTTGCTTTTAAGACATAAAATCTATCATTTTTTCAGAAAAGACTACCGCTTGGATTGTTTATTTCATTTCATTTTTAAAAGTAAATCCTAATTTAAGTGTAATTTTTGGGTGTTTAAAGTGACTAACATAGATGCTTAAAATAGAGTGTCCTGAGGATGACGAAAGTTTATAATTCAGGTAAACTTGTTGGTTGTGTCCCTTTCATTTGTGTTATCTTACTCTGATTAAAGCTGATGAATTATTAAAACTAATACATTTATGTTTCAATATTCTTCGATAGATATTAGTTTGTGTGAAGAGGAAATAGAAAAAAACAATTGTAACATTGTTTGCTATGGAAGAACTTTACTAATACTACACATATAAATATGTGTACAGAGAATTGGAGATTTATTATTTAAGAGCACTGCTAAAATTCTATTTTGTAAACATTCTGGCTGAGTCAGTTGCATTGTACCCATTTATCTTACATACAAGTTTATCAGTTTATTTAAAGGTTTTCTACAGATTTATTCTGAAACTGTAATACTTTATACTAAATTTGCTCAGTAATAACTCAAGTAATTGTTAAAAATAGACTAATATTTTTGTACTTCTAAATTCTTGAACAATTTATTACTGTTAAAGGGACTAAATGAGAAGGACAATAAGAGCTGTTGGTGCCATTTATATTTGTTTAATCCATACAGTCTCATATATTTGTCAAATGAATTATATTTAAAAAGTAAAACTGGGACTATGTTCTCTTATTTTATAAGTAGTTACCCGATATTAAATAATTATATGTACATTCAGTGCATATAGTAATATAGATTACCGGTGAGAATTTATTATTGAATCATGGTAAATAATACAGTACACAAATTACACCATTCTATCTTATAGCGTGGTTAACTAGATTTGATTTCATATTAAAGGTTATAACTTTGAACCTATGAATCTCAGTCCTTAGAAATATATAAAAATTCTACTCACTGTGTCTCACTAGTCTGGTTTGAGCGCCTTTTCTTTTATCATTTTCGATTCATGTTTGAAGTTCTTAGCTTTGCATTCAAATAGTTCCATGAAAACATTCTTTTTACAATAAGAACAATTTTTATTTTTCTGTCAGTGTTTTAAAAATGTAAAATAAAGTTACCTTTTCCAATTCAAAGCTTTGGTTGTGTGAGAAATCTTGTTTGTAAACAATTAAAAAACACTGACAAAGATTACAAGAATTGATGAAAGGATGTGATCGTAGTTTAGTATTTTATTCATGATATGCAAAATTTGTCAAGAGAAGTGAAGACAGCTTTTCATAGTCCTTAGTTGTAGGGTCAAAATAAAGAGATGGCTATGAGTATGGTGAATAAGGTGTTCTATTTAAAGTTAAAATGCATTATTAAATGTAATATAACAAAATTGTATGCTGTTATCAAATGAATATGCCTTCATTAAAGCTTTTGTTAGAATATTAGTAAGACTCAAGTCAAAGAGGAATAATGTAAGAAATTGCTTTAATATAAAGAGCACAACAAACTGCTGATCAAGAGGCTTCAATATTATTAATGCTAAATATGTAGATTAATCTTGATCACATTAATTCTAGATGATTTTAAGTTTAATTGAGTCAATGCTGGCCATAATGCCAATTAGAATCTGTCCAATGTTTTTTTTTGTTTTTTTTAACACTATATATCTTACTTAAGGTGACCCAGATGTTCACTGTACATGAAATATGACTAGTCGTAAGTGGTAGACAAGATTCTAAAGCATAGCTTTTATTTGAAATTTTTTCATGTCAAGAAGAGGCTTTGCCATATAAAATCTCTCATAAAGATGACTATAAAATGAAAATAAAGAAATGATGGAAAATAATTTATATAAAATAATAGGTATATGATATTTTCTGGTATATCTATATTATTGTACCATCTTGTGTTGAAACCTGTAGATAAGTTGTTCATCTGTCAATTACTGTTTAAACCCTATTTATCAGTACATTGCACTATTATGGATAACTTCACATTGTAAAAATAATCATTAAGAAATTTATAAATCTCAGCTACAGATTCATAATTTTTAGTTGGAGCCGCTGATTGTCATATTTGTATTTTTCAAACAATATCTAATGGTTCACAGCTTTATCCACGGTAAAATGTACTCAAATAATTATTTAACATGTTATAAAGTAAACAAAACCAAAATGTCAACCCTAGACAATCTTACGGTTTGGATTAAAAAGAAGTCCCATCAAAAGATTTTACCCAATATTTAAGAATTATTGTGTTCTTGGAGTATATTATATAGAAAGATATTTGTGCTAAAATGTTTTAAGCCATTGATTAGAAAACACTTCCAGCAGATCTCCATGCTGAAGTCTGTTCTTATCTTTACTGATTTAATTAAATTGATTGCATTGAATACAGTAAATCTGAGGGCCATGCTTTTGTCATAAGTTCAACAGAGCCTGCCAAATCTAACCTTAATGGGTTTTTTTTAAGTCTTTGTCTATAATTTTAAATTCAGCTCTGCACCAGTCTAATGTTTAAAACAGACTTTTTTTTTCCGGAGATGAAAGGAAAACAAAACTCTTATGTAGTTATAGTCTAGGTCAACAAGCTGTCTGTTTTGTGTTGTTACAAAAGGTATGATGACCTAGACTACTTAAGTTGTTTTTACTTCAAAGGTTGTTAACCTTTATCTCTACTTTATTTCCTATGATTTGACTGTTTTTTTTCACTTGTTTATTATGAAATAATGAATGAATCATTAAAATAATAATATTGTTAACAATGACTGTCGGTTTGTTTGTTTGTTCAATCATGAATTCATTATTTGTTAAAATCATATTTTGCATTAAAGAGATATTACTATTGCCTAGAAAATAAAAGTAAATAATTTTGAATAATAAAACAAAAAAAACTTAGAACGTCTAATTATTGAAAATCCAAACATTTATCTGCTCCCAGTAAGATATTTTTTCTACAATGGATTGTTCATGAAACTCCTTAAGATGACAATCAAATTTGAACATGCACAACTGTAAAGGCACTGTAACGTAACTGTATAAGCAAATCATGTCAAATTTTAAAGCGCTACTGTCTCTTTGATAGGGTTTCTGTGGTCACATGTCGGTGTGGAGTCAAAAGGTCGTATCTGGCATATTTTGCGAGATTCACTTTTTTGCTTCTTCAGAATGAGAATTTTTTTGCACATCTTTTCATCTGGTTGTCATATTTCTAAGCCAATAAAAAGAGGTTTTATAGATACTGTTTCAAAATGTTGTATATGGGGTGTTCCAAAAAAGAAAAATATATCAAGAGCGAAAATGTTGTATTTTCTTGAAAAAATCAACTTTGTGCCTATATAACCAAAGCATTACAATCAAACGAAATATAGCCAGTATTGTTTTATGGTTAAATAGGTATTATTGAAATTATTATTGAGCCTCTACTGTGTGAAACCTATGACATTGAAGCAGGTAAAGGTTAATTTTTACCCTGAGATATGTCTTTGCTGTATACAATTGCAAATAACTAGCTTTCACTCCTTATTTCTGCACTAAGGGGGGTTGGATGGCTGAATGGTCATGTAATAGGTTGCCATTCCAAACTGTTTATCATGAAATGAAAAAAAATTTTAAACACTATCCTGTGAAAAAATAAGACTGCCTTCAGTAACCCGGTCCGTGCAGAAAACTAGGACGTTAAACCCCATTCCAGTTAATTTCAAAGAAAGACTCCACTAATTATCAAAAATCCAAACACTGATTTTCTCCAATGCAATGATTTTGCATATGTCCCCTGAACTTGAAAACAGCTACAGGCTTGCTGCCAAATAAATTTTTAGGTATTGTCCAATAGACCTTTCCGGGGTAAAGAGAGAGAGAGGAGAGAGAAATGAGGTTTAACGTCCACACGATACAAACAAGGTCATTTCGGGACTAACATATGGTTCAATTTTATTTCCATAATTCGCTTGCGCGTATGGTTCTTTAGCAGTGGGAGGAAACCGGAGGGCCCGGAGAAAACCCACGAGGTTGGACAGGCGACCCTACTCCTTGTCACGTACAACCGGAGAATGAAGGTAATTTGCATAAATTGGTAAAATGGCAGTGTAAAAAAATCGTGCTGTGTAATTTGACAGACCCAATGTAATTATACCCATAGGCGTACGAGCTGGGGGGGGGGGGGGGCACTAAATGCTGGGAAAATTTGGGCACACAATTGTACTTTGTAAAAGTTGTATAAAATAATATTGCGTTCTTGAATGTGTCCAATTTAACAGCAAATTTATTATTATTATGTAACATACTAAGAACCTAACTACTTTTTTGGGCACCAACCGCCACCGACCCCCCCCCCCCCCCCAGTCAAAAATTTCCCCGTACACCTATGATTATACCTCATTACAAATGACACTATTTCTGCAAGTAAATTTACCATTTGCATAATATGTAATTTGCAGAGAAAAATTTACAAGGAGGGGGGGGGGGGTGTCTGTCCCCTTTTAGATAAGTAGTTTTTGGTTCAATCCTACGATCACAGACAATTCTGGGGACCTTTCAGCCGTGCATGTAAAATGGAAAGAATAGGTTGGATTACACTTAGATCAGAAACTAATACACCATAATTATGAATGTACATATCAATTCTGATAAAAACAACGCTTGATTTACTTTATTGACAATATTTGCTGATAAACGAAAGTTGTTTCACTAGATTGGGTTGCGTATGTTTAATAAGTTCTAATAGGATAAAAATAACTTATTTTTAAGATTTTACATGCATTAGTAAAGAAATTAAGTTTGCCAGATGAAACTAAAGACACCCAGTCATAGCTAAAAACAAGCTCATCATTATATCTCAACGTGTTTAGCTACATTCTCGTAGCTAGGATGACATTCTCCAAGAAATTTAATGTCCCACACAACACAATGTATTATGTATGACCCATGCCTATCTTCATTAGCCAGTTAGGGGCATTCGAGTTTGAGTAACCAATTTCCCTAAAATAGAATAAAATGACTGACATAATAGTAAATGTGTGGTCAAAGGGGGGATAACCGATGTAACCACTATTTGACAGTTAATTTACAGTTTGCTGTAAATATAATATTTCAAATGGCCTTTCTGTATACAGCTCGCATTTTGTAAAATGACATGATTGTATTTCTACATTACTTTTGGTGTAATCTTACATAAGCTTTGTATTCCTATGAATTTACATCGTTTTAAATTGACAAATCCGACACTGTGTTTTTACTATACTTATAATTGTAAATATAATTTAAAAGTGCATGTATCGGTTAGAATACATGAAAAATGGTACGATGAAGAGTTATCAGACCAGACTCGCCTGAAATTGGAGACGGGCAGAATACAAAACTCGAGGAAAGTTGGTTACGAGGACGAGTACAGGCCCGTAGCTAGTCCAAAAATGTTGTGGGGGGCAGGGGCTTCTGGGGTCACCGATGGGGCTTTTGGAGGCGCCTATGTATCTACACGTGAGGGTCGACGGCTAAGGGTCTAGGGTGCTCTCCCCCAAGAAAAATTAGGAAAATATTCCCCTGAGGACAGGAACTATGTAAATGAGGGAAAATTTCAATTCGCGATATTGGCGTATTATGATATGAACATTATAAGAATTTGAAGGAAGGATACGACTTTAGTGTACCTATAATACTTTATGAGAATTGAGAAGAACGAAAAGTTTGGAATCGGGATAGAGTGCGAATTATGCAGATTATCACGCCTGTTGCGGGCTTGAATCAATCTCATCCCCATGGTGAATTTGACCTGGAAAATGTTCTACAATCTCCAGTTGGCTTTCTTATATGGTAGATTTCTTCGGGCGTCGGTATGCGGTCGGTTTCTTGCTTGGGTGCCCACGATTTCGTCGTGGGCGGCCCATCAATCTTGACATGAGCGCCCCTCCGGGATGAGGCACCCCACCAATCATGCCGTGTTGGGCGCCCCATTGATCAAGTCGTGGGCGCCCAACCAATCTCACTCGGCATTATGCATTATGTGTTCACCGACAATCATGTACTGTCATTATAAGGTGCCCCACGAATCATGTCATTATGGGCGCCCGTCCAGGATAAGGCACCCCACAGATCACGCCGTTTTGGGGCGCCCCATCTATCAAGTTTTGGTGATAATCGTGTGATTCATTTATGAGGTGATATTGGTTGGGCACCCCGCCAATCTCGTCGTGGGCGTCCAACCAATATCACTCGGCTTTATGGAGCGCCCATATTGTTATCGGCACGTTGATCGTTGGCTTCGAATTGCGTACAATGGAAAGGGCGCCTTCGGCCGCCGATTTTTTCCAGGAGGGGTTAGCTGAATCCCCCCCCCCCCCACCACTAGCTACGGACCTGTGAGTACCTGTTTTGACTCAATTGCTTATACAGGTGACTCAATTAAAAAGAAATGCCGGTTGTATAACTATGTTATAACCTTCGTTTTTTTCTGTTTTCATACATAACATTTTTTTTGATGGAATGAAATGGGGTTTAACGTCCTACTGTTCTGCTTCGACTGACGGTGCACCTAATGAAGACAGGCTTACGCCATACAGGAAATTTTGCACGAACAGCGGCAAGGAATCTTTTACATGCACGCCAATGTGTACACGGTACCGCGGTTTCTCGTCCCATTCGAACGAGTAGACAGCTATCCTTGGCAGACCTTCCGGCCAGCACCACTGACAAGAGGATACCACGCAAGAAAAAAAATCTCGATGAACTCTCTCATCCAACACCGGGATCGAACTCGCGACCCCAGGCTAGCGATCCAGCGTCTTATCACGGTCTTTAAACTCATTGTATTGTTGGGGAAAATAACAGGTAACAATTTTGTTTGTTACACTTGACACCTATATAGGTCGCTTATGTGAAGTGAAATAGAAACCATTTTTTCACTAGAAAAGACTAGACAGGGGATGTAGTCATATCCTATATTAATCCTCATGAATCATTACAAAACAGTATTTTTTACAAATGTTGTCAGACGTGAATTAATTTTGTAGGAAAGCAACAGTAGACTACACCTGTAAATCTAAATCATTGGTGAGTAGAACATTACTTACAGATATATCATAATCAATGTTAAATAACACATGAACATTAATCTAATATATGAATATCAATTTATGCATATGAATGAATCTATGTGTATCAGTTTAATACAATAAAACAATATCAATTTAATGTATGAATATCAATTTATTATATGAATGAATATCAATTTATGCATATCAATTTAATACGATATATGCACATCAATTTAATATAATATCTAAATATTAATTTTTAATCCTTATTTCATGGAAAGTAATTTGTAAATTATTGTTTATTTTGAAAAACTACATTATAAAGAATAAACATTGGTCATTATCACTATCACCAAGAATTAAATTCTGAATAATACAATACTCAAAACGAGCATTTTGAGCGCACTGCTAAATTAACTACAAATTATACAATTCAAGAGGAATGTATCATAAGGTCTGTCATTAATTCAACTAGCTTGGTTTCGATTTCCCGTTTGTACGTGACAAGAAGTATGATCGCCTGTCCTATCTCGTGGGTTTTCTCCGGGTCCCCCGGTTCCCTCCCACTGCTAAAGACACCTACGCGCAAGCGAATTTTTGAAATAAAATTGAACCACGTGTTAGTTCCAAAATGACCTAGTTTGTGTCGAGTGGACGAGTGGACGTTAAACCCCATCTCTCTCTCTCTCTCTCTCTGGTCTGTTATGTACAACAGTGTACTACTCTAAAATTACCAACTGTTTAACCTGAAACAATTTTTTATTGATTTTAAAACAATACAGGGCCATAATCCATTTTTCAAAAATCAAGCCCCACACCCTCACACACCCACAACCCCACTATATTGGCAAAGTCTATGGTTAGGCAAAGTCAAGAATTTCCCAGAAATAATAATAGAATAAATTGAAATGAAAAGAAGATTAGAATGAAGAATTGAAAACGATTTTGTAATACATGTACTTTCATTAGATACATGATTCAGACAAGCCATGATTGTCCAGATCCACATTTTGAAACATAATAAGCTGTAATGCGTTAATACACAGGGCCGAAGTAACCTTGCATGGGGTCCTAGCTGAAAATGTCACTGGGGCCCTTGGATCAACAGTCACGAAAAGGGGACTCATTCTGGTCATTGTCCATCATACTCACACACACGTCAGTATAATAGATCGATAGATTTATTGGGCACAACATTATAAATAAAATCATAAAGTTATGAGCTTTATTATTTATAATTTTACAGAGAATTTTTTGTTGGAGCGGGTGTTAAACACAGTGACTAATCAATCTCGGCCTGGGGATTTGTTATTGGCTGATTCACACCATCATAGAAATAGTTAAACCGAAACGTTTACCCAAATATAACATTGTGATGTTATGTTTAATATCGGGAAAGTATAAATAAATATGATTCAGAGTGTGAAATACCTTTTTTTAACGTCCGCTTCCACATAAGTCATTCAGTGTGTGAAATAGCTTTATTTAACGTCCGCTTCCATCGAGGTGATATCGCAGACAAGATCCAGTACGTTTCCTTTATGTTTTTTATACCAATGAAAGACTGCTGTATTTGTGGTATTAAAAGGACGGTTCCCCCATTCCGGAAATAAGTATCTATTTTATAGGCTATGGTCAAAGGTTATAGTTGCCTTTTGAGACACGTTGTCGAGATCATCTATGACTCATCTTTGCCAAGGGTTTATGTTAATTTCTTTCATGAATAAATTAGATTAGACGTTTATATCGAACAGGAAGGAGCTTTAAGAGATACGCTTATTAGGCTATTTCCAAGTAGGGCAGTATGTGTTCATGTTTAGCGATATATAGGTTAATCATGAAAAATTATTACAATATAGTTCGGTAACCCAAAAAATTAATTTAAAGGAGTTAATAAACCACTTTGATTTGGGTCAAAATATAGCTTTAAAATGGCTTATCAAAGAAAATAAATGGGGGATGCCCAACTTCAGATTTTGTCATTTATACCGTGTGGTTGAAAGGCTTATCTTATAATCCAATGAAGTTCTACGGTGAGTCTATTGGTAGTAGATTTTGGAATGGTACCTACTGTCTGAACCGTCTTAAATTTTAAACTGATTTCTTCGATTGGGAACAAACTACTCAAACATACATTATGCATTATGGGCGGTATGATTTGTTGATAATAATTTTTGGTATTTATTAAAATAATTTGGACTCTAGATAACGTTATATATGGTATTCAATGATTCAATGGCTTCGGCTATTTATTTTGCCGGGGAAAATGTAAAATACATAGGAACTTTCGGATTTACCTCGGCTGCACCAGATTACCGAGGTTAATTGACAGGTCTGTTTAAGTTCATCAGGAAATATTCAAGGGTGAGATTCAAGGCTCGTGAAACGAATGTCGTTCTTTTTGTTCTGCACCTGTGTTCAAAAGAAATAATCCGCCTAAAACTCATTACTGTGTTCGAGAGATTGCTTTTTCATACACAAAATTTGAATTGTCATAAAAAGCCGACACCGTTACGATAGGCAAGCCTTAATTGCTGCCATGGACCGCCTTGTACAAAATGATCTATCGCGATAAGTGACCCAATTAGCTTCCATTTTTGTATTTCTCGATGTCCAAGTTTGTGATGAGTTCAATTTTACAGTATGCTCTGAACGATTAAGTTTTTATTACTTAATAACTTTAGTTTCATTTTTATACGCCCACATTGTCGTCATTCCCGTCCGTCCGTCCGTCGGTCCCTCGTCCCCAATTTCTTTTGTACAATCTACAGACTACATTTATTATCTATTTGTTTTGAAATTTATATATATTGTTTACATTAGTGAGATGAAGAAACATATTTAATTTCCGTTAATTTCTTCTGGAGTAGTGGCCCTTGTTTCACTTTATTGCAACCTGTGAACGCTCTAACGACAAAAATGATCATCCGATCTACATGGAATCTATGTGCATCCTGTAAATTAGTGAAACGAAGAATCCTATTGAATTTCTGCAATTTCTGTTAATTATGTCTAGAGTTATGGCCCTTGTTTCACTTTGTTTAACGCTGTAACAACAAAAGTTATTATCCCATCTGTTTGAGATTTATATGCATTATTTCAATTAGTGAGACAAAGAAGCCTTTTGAATTTCAGCAATATCCGTTAATTATGTCTAGAGTTATGGCCCCTGTCGAATTTCAACAATATTTGTATATTACTTTCAGAGTTATGGTCATTGTTTCAGATTGTAGCACACTGTGAACCCTCAAAGGTGTAGCACCATGGGCCTTTCTGTCTGACGTGGAAAGCGGGGATTCCAAAAACCGGTCGCCACATCCTACGTACGACCCATGCATCTTTTCTTACTAGATATTTCTGTAGCCTTGTGATCGTCTAGAATTTGTCTCTAACTGTCTTTACTTCTGCTTCACGTTGTGTATTTACATCTTACTGTTTTCTTAAGACGTTTGTCTTACCAGGAATAGGCCTAACTGCAACAGTTCGCTTCTACATTTTATATACCATAGCCGAATACATGTATACAAGCACAGATTACAATACTAGCTAAAATCATTTCTCCACCCTAGCCAGCCTCGCGGCTGTCTAGGAACTCAGATGGAACCTCTCCGGAATCTAATGGAAGTCTGACTTAAAAGTTTACTATGATTTCTTTTATAAGACTTATGGATATCATGCACAATCAAGTGTGATCATGGCCCTGAACCTGTGCAATTAACGATATGATTGGTTAAATAAGGCCAAATGATGCAATGGTAAAATTTCCATGCACATGATATCTCGTGGTATTTTATAGACACATGTTTTGGCTAAATAACCCTTTTTATGTGTCAACTACAGACTAAGTTGATTTAGTACACACTATATATAATATATATGTGAATATGTGTGAAACTATTAATTTGCTAAATATATTAATTAATGAAATATAAAGTCATCTTATTTCTCTATTCTTTGTCTATAAATTTAAAACAATGTCGCCACGACTATATTGCTACAAAAGATGAAAACTATTAATCTGATCTGTATGAAATTGTCTTGTAAATGCCCCCCAATACCTACAAAAGACTAAATATACGACAACCCTAATTGACCGCCGGACGATTTAGCTGCTGTGGGCGTATGTTTCCTTGCCTGGCAACCTATTTTGTACTCACTGTGTCGGCAGTGAAACACAAACTGGACTATTTATAGTAATTAACAAATCGACAGATAAAATCTAATGGAATCGACAATTTCATTTTTGACCAAAATCAAGCAAGTCAAGTCTAGTCTTTTCTATTTAAATTTATTTATTGTGAGATAACACTCAGTGTTTGAGGTTAGTTTGATTTCTAGCAATTTACATGCATGAAACGATTTAAATTCTGTAATTGCAGATATGTTTTCATTGTGTGGTAGTGGAAATGTTGAAGACGGTAACTCGATAACGTTAAGTCATCATGAAGCAGGGCGCTATGCTCATTTAATGGATGGAGGTATAAGACGTGGCAGTACTGACTCGTGTACTCATTTGATACCTCTAAGAAACAGAAGTTCCAATACAGATAGCATTTCTTCGGAAGCAAAACAATCATGTGGATCATTTCGAGGAAAATTTACAGGTTGGAATGGACGTGTCTGCTTCGCCATATTTATTGGAATGGTTTTGTTGGCTTCGACCGGTGTTATTGTAATGGCAATGATGTCACCTGTAAATCAAGATTATGGACTAATGTGTCTGAAGAAGTCTGATTTGGAAGACATACAATTTTCCGACGATGACAATCGAAAAGAAAAGTTAAATAAAGTAGTAAAGGATGGACAATTTATGTATTGTACTAAGTCTCCGAATCAAATGGAAATATTTTTGAATGCGGTAAGTTCATAGATAAATCTCTAGTTTTGCTCAGTCAGTAATCCAGTTTATGACATTTGTAATAATCGACAATATTCTCAAATACGAAAATCAGAAGGTAAATATGTACGTAAATATGTAACAGAGATGTCGGGATATATAATGCCATAGAGAGAGAGAGAGAGAGAGAGAGAGAGAGAGAGAGAGAGAAATGGAGTTTAACGTCCACTCGACACAAACTAGGTCATTTCGGGACTAACATATGGTTTAATTTTATTTCAATAATTAGCTTGCGCGTAGGGTCTTTAGCAGTGGGAGGAAACCGGAGCACCCGGAGAAAACCCACGAGGTTGGACAGGCGACCCTACTCCTTGCCACGTACAACCGGGGATTCGAAACCACGCCAGCTGACTCAATGACAGGCTTTATGATACAGCGTGCACACGCTAACCATTCAGCCATCCAACCCCCATAATGCCATAGGAACTACTTAAAATTAAAATTACCGTAATAAGAAAGAAAGGTGTCTCTGGTTGGTCAGCATTGACCAAGTATTGTATATTTGCCTAGATATATTTTACATTTTATCATTGCTTGATAATTACAATTTCCCGGTTGTACGTGACAAGAAGTAGGGTCGCATGTCCAACCTCGTGGGTTTTCTCCCGGTCCTCCGGTTTCCTCCCACAGCTAAAGACCCCTACGCGCAAGCGAATAATTTAAATAAAATGGAACCATATGTTAGTCTCGAAATGACCTAGTTTGTGTCGAGTGGACGTTAAATCTCATTTCTCTCTCTCTCTCTCTCTCTCTCTCTCTGATAATTACTACAGAAGCCCAGACGAAACGTCGATCAGTATTAACTGATTGACATGTTTAAATACACGCCTGTTCTTATATTTTACCTTAATTGTATACATGTTGATTTTCCAGGTTATTAATAAGACAAAAACATTTGGATATGAAGGTAAGTAAATTAAAAGTGGTTAAGAAACTGGGTTTAACTCATTACTTGCATACAGCCCGAGCGCCCAACATCACGGCAAATATGGGACGCCTAATTATTTTTTTTAATTCGTTTGATTTTATTTTCAGATATGAATGACTTGCCAAGCAAGCTGTTTAATGATAAAGTTGTTAGCGCACATGTTTTAATTTCTGGTTTCAAGACACCGATAAACACAGCTATACCTAATCTAGGTAAGAACCCGTGTATAATTTAAGTGTATTCAGTTTCAGATGATACAAGGCCATGCAGTGTGCAGCAGAGCCCACTTTACCTAGACAACAAACCTCATCTCTCAACCCTCCGTGTTCCGAGATAAGAGATAGTGCTATATAGTTTCACGTAGCAAAGCCCAACGCAAATCACATCGGGCCTCAGTAAGCAAAATTGACAATATTTTTCATCAAAACAACGATTGATTACTGTTATTTATAATATTTCTGCGTGCTAACGATTCGGCCATCCCCCCCACCCCCACCCCCAAAAGACAAGGGGCCTTACAAGTTATCTTACTAAACATGAAGACGCCAGTCATATTTAATGGGTAAACAAGACTTCAAGCTCAAGAAAAGGTGCGCCGAACTATTTCTTTCTATGTTTAAACACAATCAACACTGATTTAGTTTACCAATGATTTATAATGTTCCATACTTTCTATTTTAGTCAAACTGTCAACCGAGAACTCATTAACCCACCTAAATGGCGTAGGACTGGGACCTTATCGACTGATCATCAGAACCAAGGGGACTTATTTTGTATATAGCAAGATCAAGTTTGAGATTAACCGCAGAATCAATTATCACGCGACAGATGACCAAGTTAAAATGTACCATAAGGTTGTGTGGAATAGACGAACACCCAAAGATGACGGCAAAGACGAACTTCTTTTAAACGAACATACAGACATTTTGGACCATAAAAAGCTTGACTTTTCCAGTTATGTATCTGGAATTTTTCAGCTGGACGAAGGTGATGAAATTGGAGTGACAGTGACAAATCTCGATTATATATCTCGCATTAAAAAGAAAAATTTTGTTGGACTGTTTATACTTGGTAAAACTCAATGAACGAAATAATTCATACCATAGGAGTATTATATTTGATTGTACGGACTAAGATATTAATTTTATTTTCATAATAAATGATATTACCACTTTTCTTAGTCTATTGTATTAACTCTATTGTAAGAACTCCTTCAGTTGGAAAACAAAAATGTTATTAAATTGTCCCAGAACTGATTGTTTCAAAGTTTTATAAGATGTTTTCGAATAATTTTACATAAATTATTTTGAGTTATTTTATTTTTTATCGTAACTTTCATTATTTCCTTATTATATTAAATAAATCATAATTAGTCTGGACCGTTTGTTGATCACGTAGAAATATAATCTTTTTTGAGCAGAGTATACCATCAATATGTAATTTTTTGTGTGCTCAGTTTGTACAATAAGCATAATAATAATGTATTATATAATTATTAAAATACAATATGTACAATATAACTGTTTATTAATATGTGGGTGGGTCTCAGTCTGACCCTATTTTATAGATCAAAATATCTTTATTTGTCTTTACTACAATAGGAGCTGGAAGAGTTGTTATATAACCCGCATTCTGGTTGATGTGAGGCATTAGCATATGAAACGATCTGTTGCGACCAGTGCAGTGCACGGAACTGTGGGTATCCCACTAGAAACATCAACGCCGATTGGTTAATCAAATGCCTGACGTCATATGGTCAAACGCCTCTCGTTTAACCCTTGACGTGACCTCCCACTACAACCGGTCAGATCTTCATGTAGTGGAGGCCATCGAAAGTATAAACCAGCGGTTGCCAGGCAAGATACGCCCTCATTTTGCAAGAGATGGACAGGGAACAAGTTAAACAAAAAGGCAACTTTTTTACAATCTGGGGCCATATCAAGTTACGGTCCGATATGCATGAATATAGACAGGATTTGAGATCTTTTGGATATAAACATATAGTTTAAGTTTCATCAAGATCGGATAAAAACTGTGACTTCTAGAGGGCCCACAACCTTGGTATTACATACTTTTACACTATTTGCGTACAAGTAACAGCCATTTATTAAGCAGTTGGTCCGATTTTTACGAAATTTGAACTCAACCTTCACTGAGGTGTAACCGTGATATGTTTAAAAGGTTTTTTTTTTTTTTAAATTGAATGCAAATTATGACGTCTAGAGGGTCCGCAAGCTATAAACGTGATTTTTCGAACAATCAGGGGCCATAATCCAGAAAGTTACGTTCCGATATGCCTTTCGATCGAAAGGAACCGAATTTTTTGTGATGTAAACATACATTTAAAGTTTCGTCAAAATCGGATAAAAATTGTAACCTCTATATACTTTTACACTATTTGCATTCGAGGAGCGGCCATTTCGTCTGGCAGTTTCGGTCCGATTTTCAAGAAATTCGAACTCGACCCTCATTATGGTGTAACGGTGATATATGTAAACGGATTTTTAAATCGGATATAAATTGTGACCTCTAGACGGACCACAAGCTAAAAACGCGATTTTTCGTAAAGTCAGGGGCCATAATCAAGAAAAGGAACTGAGATCTGTGGGTTATAAACATACATTTTAAGTTTCATCAAAATTGGATAAAAATTGGGACCTCTTGAGTGTCCACAAGCTAAAAATAAGACTTTAAATTAATTTGTTTTACACGGAATGGTGTGGCGAAATAAAAGAAATAAGCCCACCATTCAGGGGCCATAATCCATGATGTTACGGTCCGATACATTTTCGACAGGAACATAGATAATTGGGAGATATATCTATATTTTAAGTTTCGTTAAATTCGGATTAAAATTGTGACCTTGAGAGTGTCCACAAACAAATGCGAACTGACGGACGGGCGGACGGGCGGCGGCAATACACGTCGACATGATACTGTGGGTGTATAAAAAACGAAACAAAATGTAGATCATATTTTAATCAGATTGAGTCGATCTAGCTTGTAACCGTTTACTAATCAAACAAAACTATATCGACGGGATTTGATCATGACGGTCATAAACCATAACGGCCAAAAACCATAACGGTCAAAAGGGGCCCAAAAATATTAATACATTGCAAAAGCAAAATTTACATGCAAGGGCGTGGATTTGTCATAAATTTTTTTTTTTTTTTTTTGGGGGGGGGGGAGGACGAACCCTGGAACCTGGAACATTTCATTACCAAACGAAATAAATAACTAGAACTGCGACGCAGTAATGACGGGTTTCACCGGTGCACCGTTACCCTTGAACATATTTCACTTCCGGTACCGATGAAACCATTCAACAGGTTTTCATATAAGCATTGCACACATCAAATAAAATGTACACAGAATCAACCAAATCCAGCAATATCAATTCATTGTATACATTTGTTACATGTAAGTGATACTGACAAAATTACATTACTTCCGTTGATAATGAAAATGTTAAATTAGTTTTATGAAATCAGAAATGGCATAAGGCATCACATGGAGAAAATTTTATGTAAATCGAACAATAATTGCCACTTTTATAGACCAAAAATCTTGAAAAGGGACTTGTAGAAAATCGTCTATTTCTCTGCAACCGTACAAGTTAGAAACCATTTTTTGGTATCTGTATGATCGTATGGGTTCAATCTATTTGTTGATTGGAATCAAATATCATAATTTTAAAAACATTACAAATTAGACTCATTTGAATAAAATATCTGTTTTGAAGGCTAAAAATATAGTTTTTGCCAAAATGACATTACTTCCGGTGATAATGAAAATCTTAAATTACTTGTATGAAATCGTAAATGGCATTAGGTATCACACGGTGAAAATTTTATGAAAATCGAATAATAATTGACACTTTTATGGACCAGAAACCTTGAAAAGTTACCTGTTGAAAATCGTCCATTTCTCCGCAACTGAACGAGTTAGAAACCATTTTGTGATACCTATATGATCGCATGGGTTCATTCTATTGGTTGATTGGGACCAAATATCAAAATTTATAACACATAACAAATACGACTCATTTGAATAAAATACTGGTTTTGAAGGCTATAAATACAATTTTTGCCCAAATTACGTCATTTCCGGTGACATTGGAAATGTTAAATTAGTTTGACCTTGTTAAAATTGACATTACGCATCAAATGGTGTCACTTTTATGAAAATCGAATAATAATTGACTCCTTTACAGGCAAACTAGCGTAAAGGGTGACTCATGCAAAATTGCCCATTTCTCGGCAACTGCTCATATTACAAACTAATTTTCACATACATTCTCTTCGTTTGGATTATTGTTACTAGTTTATGAAAGTTTCGAAAAAATATATTAAAATATGAAAAGCCTGAATGGGTTGTGAATAGCTCATTTTTTCACCTTTTTTCGCCTTTAAATCGAAATGATCCGAAAACGAAATAAAAATTAAAAAAACTGAGCGCGATGATTTCTGCGCCTTAACAGGGCACACCCTTTCAGTCATACCAGATTTGAAAAAAATAATATTTGCTTTTAAAAAGTGGTACTGAACTGTCAAAATTGCAGTTTTTGCTAAATTTACGTCACTTCCGTTGCCGAAAGGAAAATGTACCGGTAACAAAAAAAATGACATTTTGGACCGCGGAACATATGAACTTTGTTTTATACAAATCGAACAATAAATAATTAATCCAGGACTGAAAAACTGAATTAGCCAATGGGGGCCATGGAAAAATACCGTGACAAAAATGTGGCGCCTAATATCTCCGAAGATTCGTCGAAAATAAAAAATCCAAAGAACCTTGGCCATGTGCCTTGTCTCTGGCTATGTCAAAATGTATAAAATATTACAATCCGACAATCATTGATAACATTACGGCGAAATATCGAAAAACGACAACTTCGGTGATTTCGGACATTTCACATTGTCGCAGAACGTTGGAAATAGCTTTAAAATTTAAGTCAAACCCACTTTCCCAGGAAAACCGAAGACATCGAATCGATCCGACAAGTAGTTTCTGAGATATGCTCAAATGGAAAAATAATAATAATAACTAGATCTGCATAGCAGATATCAAAGCTTTCATATAAACTTCAAAAGGGGTTATTAGAATCTATGAATCAACAACCACTCTGACGGAAGATATTCTCTGGGCTAAAAAATCATTTTTCTCTCAGCTACGAGAGATACGTAGAATTAAACCGGCCCAGAGCCGACCGTGTTGATACGAAGCCGCTTATTTGACATTGACACATAACTGAAGGTGAATAGGCCTACCCGTCCAGTTAATACAATGGGCAATCTCACATCGGTCCACTAAAGAGAGGCACATGCTAGTCGCCCCCTACTTCCCCAAGACATTTAGTCCAAACCTTGACTCTCATACATATAAACCATTTGGTACTACATGTACATGTATTTCGTACTTATATCATATTAAACCCCTCGGCCGCCATGTTGAATCACACAGTATTTAACGTTCTGTATCCTAACATCTTTATGAAATCAACGACAAATCTAAACTTGGGCACTCCAACCATTTTTATTTTTACATCATTCAGTTTTTTTTAAATAAGTAATTCTATCACAAATTATAGTGAAGACTGGACCACTAAACTAGTTACCCATCAGTTTTTCTTTGTGTTAATGCGTTCTACATTTTCAAAGCAATGATTCTTATAATGTGCGAGCCGCCATGACACCGGCGGATATTATAACTTCGATAGGCGAGAAACTTCAGGTAGCAGTTGGGTTTCATCAAATCATATAATTATGCGGTACGGCTTCACCTTTATTTCAATGGGAATTGGTTTATTATATGTGCAGTGCAGTTTTAGGTCAGTTTATGTGTAAATTAAGGGAGCTATACATAGGCCAGTAACCTTTTTGTAGTCATTTGACTAAAAAAAACTTGCGGAAAGGAACTCCGTAGGACAAGCCACTACTGTGGCAGGAGTAAGGCGGAAGACATCAGTAGTGGAACCATTTCTAAGTTAATCCCGAAGTGCGTTGCTATTGTAAGAATATATAAAATCGGGTTTCCGTTCCGCTTTTTTTTTGCTGTAGTTTGAGTAATGAGTTAGAGCGTATATTTTGTAGTCAAAAAATCATTGCAAATAGAAGACCTCATCCCCACCACCACCAACCTGTAATACACTAGCTAGCTTGTGTATTTCCATATTCCATTTCCGAGAGATAGATAGAGAACACGCGAAATATAAAGTGATTTTTCTTACAATCAGGGACCATAATTCATGAAGTTACGATTCGATATGCGCAAATATCGAAAGGAACCATATCTTTGGGTTATAAACATGCATGTTAAGTTTCATCAAAATCTTTCACTGTGAAAAACCGGGGCTAAGTCATCTGAAATCAAACAAATTTTACAATGTAAGTAGTGAAAACAAAATGTTATGTTAAGCGTTGTTCGAGGGTGGGGTGGGTGCATAAAATTCCAAATGCA